TCCAGAGAACACAACTCCTCTGCTGTCATCGTTTGGATTTTTTGAATGACATTCTATTCTGTTCCTTCCCGATTTGAACAACAATTTTTCTTGGTCCTGGTTTCATCTAAATGATTTCTATTTCTTTGATTCCAACCCATCAATTAGCCCTGATGTCAAACACTGTACGTAGACGTCAGATCGACTGTTGTCCGTCAACTCTCAACACTTGTTTTCTGTGTGTGAAGTCCTGGTCTCATTATGATTTCCTTGCGGGTTTGAAAGCAGGCGCCGAGCAGCGGTGGAGTTTCATAAAATGATCAAACCCCATGAATTATTAATGTCCAGTGTGTGAACTGTGATGCAGGTGGAAGCTGAGCCTCCCTTACACATCAATCAAGTACAGTAGGAGAGAAACTGGGCCAGCAGTGATCATTAAAAGTGAATTGGGAAAAGTAATCACTTAGAAATGTGTGTCGTTTTAATGTATGTATTATGTATGTCTCTTTCAATATTAAAGCAAGAATATACATATATAACGATATATGTATATAAATACATATATACATATATAAAGATATATGGATATAAATACATATATAAAAATATTTGCATATAAATACATATATAAAGATATATGTATATAAATACATATATACATATATAAAGATATTTGCATATAAATACATATACACATATATAAAGATATATGTATATAAATACATATGTACATATATAAAGATATATGTATATATACACACATATATAATACATATATTCATATATACACATACTTATATACTACATAAATGTATATGTATTTACATATAAAAATATATATCATATAAAGATACTCTTGTGTATATATGTATATGTATAACTATATATGTTCATATATATACATATATTTACATACAAACATACATACGGCCTATTAATATATGTACATATGTAGAGTATGTGTATAATGTATATGTACGTATATGTACTATTCACATATATCAACATATTTTCAAAATATTCAATAATTAAAAAAAACACTTTAAGTCATAGAGTATTAAATATAGTAAATGTATACCAGTACCAAAAACTCTTAGTAGTATTCAAAAACAACATTGCACAGACCAGACTTAATAATTTAAACATATTTTGTTGAAATGCAGAACATATTCATTTACTAGTTTTTCCTCCGTACATCATTGATTATTTTCTGATATTTTCTGACACCGGTGGAAAAACAAGCGGCCAAGAATCGCAGCACAAGTTTAGTCAGACGTCTGCCAGTCGTCACAGCTCTGCTGTCGTCGAAGCTGCTCTCTGTGACATAAACGTCATCTTCTGTCCAACAGCTCTGTATCAAGTCCACCGTCTCCTGCCTCCATCACTCAGTGTCACACAGCACACACACACACACACCCTTGGTCTGCCTGAGGCTACTTCTAAATCTCTGAAGCTCTTAGTTGCTTGAAACGCTTGTAATGAACAAGCGTTTCAAAAAAAAAAAAAAAAACAACAAAAAAAAAGAAAAAAAATCAATGCTTTCAATACGTCTCACTATAAAATTTCTCCCCACCAACAGCAATTTAATGGTTGACAGACTTGGTCCACGACGTGCCACAATATTACTACTTTGTCATAATGGCTGTCCCATCTCTTCGATTTTCCACCTCACTTTCTCCTTTTCTTGCATCTGCCCCCCGCCCAAAACAACCTCCTCCCCCCATTCTCCTCCCCCTCCTTCACTTCAACTCTTTGGATCAAAAAGCAAAGCGATTGCAGATCAATGACTTGATTCTAATCATGGAAAAATCACCAGATCAATGACTTGATTCTAATCATGGCAAAATCACCATCAACATCATCATCTCCATCAGCATCAGTAACAGCTTTCTTTATCTTCATGGTCACATAATGATGACATCATCATCATGATCAGTTCTTCCCTATTTATTTTCACCCAACCGACATTTTTAAGACGCTGAGATCAGTTCGTCAACTCGTTAATTTGCGGAAAAAAATTACATTTTACGGAACGTTGAATGTCTGGAGTTTTCGATGGCGTCAGACAAGAACATTCGATCCACCATCTTGTTCACTGGTTTAGTCGCCAACAACCAACCATGAGCTCACAGTACTGGATTATATGGTTAGCATTAGCAAGAAAAACCTCCTGTCAAGACATTTACCAAGATCAGCACAAAATCACATGAATATTCTCCAGTCCATGGCAAAAAAGTACCATAACCAAAAACCTCCACCTCATGAATCTATATCTAATTCTGGAAAAAGCAAAAAAAGCCTAAAATTTGCATATTTTAGATTGAAAAGTTGTAGTTGTAGAAGAATATACACAGATAGTAACATTGTGAAGCTCAAAGTTATCCGTGTGGCAATTTTACAAAGTTGCTGTAAGTCACGACAAGTCATTAAGGAAAAAAAGCCTTTGCTAAAGTGACACCTACAGGTCACAATAACTTTTGGCTTTGGTCGAGCAAAATTTTGGAAATCCACAGTGTGTGTTAAATTGTGTAAAGGAGAGAAAAGAAAGATAAATGGCTGTGTCGAAGGTGTGAGTGGAACGAGAGGTGATAGGTATTGTTTCCATGGCAACCAAAAGTAAAGGGACACTGTTTTCGCTCTTGTTTTGCAGAAGTAAACAAGCAGACAATTCATTTGCTTCAGGTAAACGTGTCTGTTGTCTGCTTTCCCAGAGTGGCGCCAAACGAAGTCAGAAGTCAGCCAAGGGCCAATCAGGTTTCTCAAACTGAAGGACCTGCTCGACGAATGGACGCTAACCTTTGACATTTAAGCCATAAAGGGTAATGTATATTATGCCAGTTTGTTTTTTTTAAAACTCAATTAACATTAAATTGAAATGAGTAACAGAATTATTTTAGGTCAGTGATCACATCGTTAAACAAGAAGTATAACATACACAACATTAGTAAAAACATGAGTAATCCTGTTTGATTAAAATAATTATACTTGTGTTAATGTACGGGATGTGTCACCAACTTTGGCTTGTATTTAAACACTTCACACACATGGTGTGTGTGTGTATGAAGTGCTAAAACTATGCATTTTTGAGTAAAACCGATGTTTAAAAGAACAGAACTCTGAGGACTGTTTTTAGGAATTAGACGTAATTAGAAATTAATGTGAAATCTCTTTTTCAAAGGCTTTTTGCTGGGCTCCATCCTCTCCATTTGCACGTCTGTCTGGTTGCTAAGCGACAGCTGGTCTCCAGGTCGAATGTCAGCCCTAAAAAAGAGCATGTAAATTGCAAACCTACTTGCTGCGCGGACCGGCAACGATGAGACACAGATGGTGGTCACACGTTTGAAGATTTCTCACTTGGGATTCAGTTGTGAGGGACCCCGAGACCTCACAAACGCACACAACAAACACAGGCTGTCACGCTACCGAACAGCTGATCCTCACAGAGCTGTGATATCGTAAGAAGAACTGGAAGATCGTAAATAAGCGAAGAAGCAAGTAGAGCAGTGCATTAAACAACAACAAACAATACACAGAAACAAGGTCAAAACAGTGTTGTTTACCGTTTGGACTGTCTGTACCAGGACTGTCGTAGCTAACGTTACCCCTGTGCTCTGTAACAGGACTGTTGTAAAAATCGTTAGGTATGAAGGACTGTCGTAGCTAGCGTTAGCCCTGTGCTCTGTAACAGGACTGTCGTAAAAATCGTTAGGTATGGTGTTGGTACCAGGACTGTTGTAGCTAACATTGGTTCTGGTGTCTGTACCAGGATTGTTGTAGCTAACGTTAGCTCTGTGCTCTGTACCAGGATTGTTGTAGCTAACGTTAGCACAGATGTATGTACCAGGATCGTGAGCTCTTGTGTACGTAGACTGTCATACGTAGGTTAACGTTAGCTCTGAGGTCTGTACCAGGACTCTTGCAGTTAACGTTAGCTCCTGTGTCTGTACGTAGACTGTCATGACTCACATTAGCGCTGGCATTTGTACCACACTGTTGTTGCTAACGTTAGCTCTGATATCTGAACCTGCCGCTTGTAGCTAACGTTAGTTTAACTCTTGTCTTCTTGCTTGTATGGACATGTTTTGCATTGAGGAGATACAATAGCCTTGAACTGGTGCAGTGATAGCTCTTCCATGCTCTTATTGAAGCAATCATTGGTGAATAAAAGAAAAAAGCTCAATCCACTATTGCACAGTAAAAGAAAATGTGTACGTTCTATTACCAGTGAGGAGTTTCAATATGAGGTCATAAAGCTAAATCCACTCTCACTCAACAGAAGAAAAATGAAAACACGGGCTTTTCTCAGGCACACGACACAGAGACGGGTCCAGACATGATGGAGAGACAGAAGTGTCGGGAGACAAACTGTATGAAGAGCCTGGTGGTGAAGTTGTGGACTTCACCTATTTGTTTCATCTTTCTGGTTCCTTGAAGTGAGATTCTCTGGTAAATGTACTGTTTCATTTTCCAAATTTCAGTCATTTTCTTCCCATACATTTCCATAGCTAAGCGTATTAAACACTGTTGAAGCTCAGCTTCTATTGGCTTCCACATGGCTACATTGGATCGCCTTTTTCACAGCGGAGTCTGGAATATGACTGGATTAATGAGGCAAAAAGACCACCTTCACTAGGAGTCAAAGAACCAGTAGGCAGATGTGGATGCTGAGCTTCTGTGTGATGATTGGACAACTAAATTTTTAATTCACCCTGTTTTGTATTGACAGCACCTTTAAAAAAAATTGCACCCGAGCACTCTAAAAGCTAAAGACAAACTGCAGCCTGTCACGGGGGTGGAAAAAGTCCCACAGAAAATACAAAGTTTCAGGTATAAATATCACATGAGACGAACAACTTCCTGTCATCTTCAAGGACAATACGTTTCAAAGCTTTTTGTTTTTTGTCTGTGCCGGTAAAAACTGCAAACTAACTGCACAGATTTTGTGGTGTTTCAATTTGGAAGAAACACAGAACACAGTCAAATCCCTTTTCCACACATATCCTGACTTTCCTTCCACTCACCTCCTCCACTGTCCTTCTCCTCTTCCTCAATGCTGTTCTTGATGCTGTCGTACTCTTCGTCAATGTTCTGGTTCCCTCTGATCTGACTGAGCACACGACGGGCCTTTTGGGTCAGTCCCCGCTGGATTAACCAGCGGGGACTCTCAGGCAGGAACAGGAATCCCAGGAACTGTAGCAGCGCAGGAATCACAGAGAGACCGAACATGTACCTAAAAGGCAGAAGAAGAAAATGGAAAAAAAAAAAAGACATGAATAATTTCAGCAAGATGATAATAAAAATGGCACTTTTGGAAAAAAAACTGTCCTTTTTGGAAACTATATTGAAATATATATGTATGTGTATATAAATATATAAACACATACAATATATAAACATATATATATACTGTGTACACACCAAAATGTATGTATAAATATATATTTAGATATTCATATATTTACATATGCACACACATACATACAAAATATACATATATATATTCATATACACATATAATAGGAAAATATATATAAATATATAATTATATATTTATATAAATATAAAATATTATAATATGACAATAAATAAGCTATTTCGCTATGTATGCTACAGTGTCCAATTTTTAAACAGCCTTAATAAAAAACTACATTCCAATTTTAAACCTTAGAGAAAAGGACCAATGTCCAGACAGTTGTCATGGGACCTGGAAAAATCCATTGTCTCCTAAAATAAACCGTCCTCCACATCCTGCTGCGTCCTCGACCAATGATGTAAGCAACCTCGATACACCTAACTAAGTAGGAGACACTGTCGTGGATGAGTCACATAAAATCTACAAAAGGCTACAAATGAATTCGTCACCAAAACAGTCATTCAGTTCGCTACGGCCGCAGCAAATCCCCTCAGAAAGGACGATTCCTATCTCCAGCGTCTCACGGCTTGATACTCGCACACACGCTACAAGCCATGGATTAGGTGTGAGAGCAAGAAAGGATGTAGGTGGTGGCAGAAAGTAAACAGAGAGATGGAAGGGGATGAATACAAAGAGGTAGAAGGACACACGGAGAACATGCGGAGCGGCCGCGCTCAGCAAATGTTAGGCTCTGACCCCGTGCATATGTTGACATTTGGAATAATCGTCGGAGCCAAAATGACTTTTCCCTGATGTTTGACGTGATGAAGCCTGAGATAAAGCTGCTGAGGCTGTCATCGAGGAAGATTTGTTTAGCTGCTGAGGCTGTCATCGAGGAAGATGTGTTTCATCACAGATTATAATAATAATAGTAATAATAACAAGAAAAAGAAAGTTTCCGCCAAGTGTAGGATGTTTTAAAATGTTTTGTTTTCCCGTGTCTCTAACCTCCATCCATTCTGCTGTAAGTAGCTGAAGGCGCCGTCGATGAGGCTGGCCGTGAACTGTCCTCCAGTGATGAAGAGCGTGTTGACGGTCACCAGCTGACCCCTCAGGTGGGGCGGAGAGGATTCAGCGATGTACACCGGAACTGTCATAGAGGCGATACCTACACAGCAGAGGTGGAAACAGAGAGTGGAGAACAGACGCCGTTAAACAGGTTATCACTGTTGGCTTCCACCACACAGGAGAGATGTTTATAAATGTTTATAAAGATGTTTATGTCTAAATGTTGTATTAATTGTGCATGGGTATGTTTCAGATTTATTCAACTGAAAATGCAAATGTGAAAATGTGAATTTCTCCCGCGTACCACTAGAGGGCGCCTACGGCAGTTTGAGAACCACTGCTCTAGTAACTTCTAGAGTTTGAGATGAATTAGAATTAAGCCTCATTTTTATGGTTTTCATTGCTTGTTGTAAATAATAAAAAAAAAACTGACAAAGTATTTTAGTGATGATGTCAAACAAATTAAAAAATATCCCATCTTTATATTGGTGTATATTGCGTTGTACTATCTTTGGGGAGTGTTGGCATCATAACAACACTATTTCTATTTTTTTTTTGTCACATATGTCAAGGACAAAAAAAATAATATGACCGCAGAACAGCATTTAAAAATAGCAAACAGTCAACGTCAGTAATTCTAATTAAAATAATTATATTGTCATTATTTTTTTCATATTATTATTTTAAAGACGTCCATTAGCTTAAAAATATGACATACATATACATAACACAAAAACAAAATAATAACAAAAGTACATGTCAGTACAGAGAAATGTCATTGATATCTCAGTCATAGGTGTTTTAATCCTCTCAAACACACACTCTCTCTCTGTGTGTGTGTGTGTGTGTGTGCGTTCTCTCAGGTACCATGAGACCACAGCGTTCAACAGCCAGCTCCTGATAAGCTCTATTAATAGTCTGCCTCTGTGTTCTCCGGCCCCTCCCCGCCGTTCAATCACTCCCCTCCTCCCTCCTCCCTCGCTGCCACCACCCTGCCCTCCACAGCCGCCATGACTACATGGCTACACGTCACCATGGAAACCGCTTCCTGAGAAAGCAGCAGTGCTGTCTCTGAGCGGGCAGCACGCTTGCTGAGAAGAGATTAATCAATAGTTGAGGAGAGGGGAGAGAGAGTTCCTCGTACATTATTCAGACGGGCTGAATAAAAAAAGATTTTTTTTTTTTTACGAGAAAATGTTAAAATAAAAAAATAAAGTTGAATCCCTGTTGTCATCGTCATGTTTATTTTGGTTTGAATAATTTATATAAAGAATCGTTTTTTAAATTGACTTTTTTTTTTAACCCTGGACTCATTCATCGACCGTGAAATACTTAGCCTGAAGGTTGAGACAAGTCTTTATCTTAATTACGACTTCAAATGATTATCATCTGACGGCGGAAACCCAGGATCCAGATCCCAGACAAAATCTAATCAAATGCACGAAGCCTGTCTGCTCAGAACAATTAGATTTNNNNCCCCCCCTCTGAGGGTCTACAGTCGGCTTCTGACTGTGCTCTGAGATCCAAAGATTGGTCCAATAACGTGAACGCATCAGTAACATATTAATTTGTCAGGTGATGCATTACAAAGGTGATGTTTATTTAACAAACAATTCATAAATTTTGAAAAAAATAATAATAATAATAATAATAACGTGATCTGTTAAATGTCAATGACTTCATTTGGAGTAATTTAAAATTTTTGCCTCAAATTGATTGAAGTATCTTTACAAGTGTAAAGCAACATTTTTTTACATGTTTGACTAACTTAGATTTTTTAAAGATTTTGTCTTTAAACTTTTTGACTTCTTCTCCTCATACACTGACATTGTTTGTAAACCTAAACATGGTGTAAACAGTTACACACACACAATCTTTGTCATTTGTATTCCACCGTTTCCCTCCCTCCCTCCTTCCCTTCATCTTCCATCTCTTTCCGCCTGTTTTTCATGCTGATACCTTGTTCCGTCCACTTAAACCCGTGTGCATCAACAGCTCGTCCCCATGCAACACACGTCTGCCACCGCAGGCAGCCCTGACGCCTGTTAGTGAGACGCTGCAGCTCCGGCTGATGCATCTCCAAAGTAATGGAGCATTTCCACTCTATGTATGTGGCTGCAGGTGTTGACAGACAAACTACGGTAAAAACCAATTAACGTGGACGCAGCTGTGAGCCAGTAAAAGGTCAAGAACGATACTGTGCAGTTTTACTTCCTTTTTGTTGACCAGGGGAAATAAAGTATTGTGGGCCGAGACTCTCTCAAGTCCAATTATGTCGCTGTTCCTTCATGTATTGATTTTGTTTTTGTTTTTTTTAAAAAGCAGCATTTCTTCATCTCTTAGTTAATAATGAAAAAAGAAATGTCATAGTTATCATCGTCGTACATCCTCTCCGTCCGACCCTAATTCAATCGTGCATATTTCCAGCTATCAGGCCTCTTATGTACTTATGATAAATAAATAATTCCCATATGTGACTACGGTCAATTAACCGAGCAGTTGAATTGTATCGTTTACAAGCCGGAGGAGAAAGTTCAACAGTGGTAGTGGTAGGTACCGCACCTGCCACTAGGAGGCGCCAGGTTCAATACCACCTGGCCTCTAAATTTGGGTAAAAAAAGAGGTATCACCAAACACTAAAAAATAAATAAATCATATATATTTTTTAAAGTACCCTTAATTATTTCTAAATAACAGAAACAGTGACGTACTTATACTTAACTGGTATTATTTTTAATCCCAATCCAATTTGTTCCAGGTCGTCTAGAATCTAAGGATCTAAGACTTAAAAAACCTCCCAGGCTTCTCCTAGCATAATGAAAATTCCCCAACGAGAAACATGTCTTATGTAATGTCCCTTCCCGTTGCAGATGTCTTTCAGCACCACGGACAGCTCCCAGTGCCAGACAGAGAAGAAGAGTCAGAGTCTGAGCCTCACAGCAGAGAGAAGTCTAACAACGGTCGTCAGGCTTGAAGTACAAGGCTCAGCATCCACTCATTTGATCAGAGTGAGTGTGAGAAGATGGTTTGACTTTATGGTCAGTGGTGGTGACGGTGGGAAGGACACAGACAGGACAACTTCTACTTCAGAGTATCTGTTCCTGAAATAATTAAAGGTTAAAGGGGAGATCTTTTTAGGTTGAAGATGAACCTGTATGTTAATAAAAAGTATCATTTAAAATTGTTTAGGATTGTCATTTTAAATCCAGCATTCTGGGAAGGACAAATATAAAGAAATAAAGAAATAAAAATGTTTTTATTTTGCTCCCTTTCAACGACCAAATAACCATGTCAAACATTTTAAAATTTAGATGAAATTTGTCTGTTTTTCTGACACAAAAAACATGTTTAACCAAAAATATAATTTAAAAATGTATTTTCCTCAGAATTATATAAACTGATTATGTGATGTGACAGTGATATATTTTCTGACATGTTTGAAGTGACTTTTTTCCTACGTTTATTGGCTGTAGTGGCAAAAAGAGAAACCTCGAAAGCTGTAGCTGGTAATCTGAGCAGACATCTATCTCTTTAGTTAAATCCAATAACATGCAAATGAACGTGCACTACCGCCGCAGACACGTGCATCCTGTTCATGAGCCCGAGTCTGATGATCCAATTACAATTACCCAGAGTGCTGCCTCTGGGCACAAGTGAATTCCTCTAAGGCCGATGTAGACGACAAGGAGAGAAAAAAAAAACCTAAGATCAGCTGATGGATCGGTGAATTACTTGATGTTTTTTAATCACTTTGTGCAAAATATTACTTGCAATATTATAAAACTCCCATCAGCAGCAGAGACATTGACCACAATTAGTCCCCATCTTCTCATTCAAAGAAGTTTGTTCTTTGGTTTGAGTCGTAAAAAAAGACGCGGCACTAAAGGGTGTCTGCTGTACTATTACAGTAGGTCTACAACATGGCATTACCATGGCAACCAAAAAAAACCGACAGCATTTAAGCACCTCGAAATAACATGGCATTACCATGGCAACCAAAAATAAACGACAGCATTTAAGCACCTCGAAATATCAGAAGTGGGGATGTCCGATATCAACTTTTCTGCCAATATTGTGCAAACACTTAATGTCCGATTTCAGTATATCAACCGATACTGATAATACCGATAACTAATAATAATTTAATTTTACGTACTTTCAGTTTCACTTCAAAACTGCGGGACACCCAGGAATTGCTATCTGATTCGTTATCGGAGGAAAAACTGAGAAGAATTATTACACAATTATGCTAATATGGGCCGAACCCTAATTAGCGGTGAGGGAGTGGGGCATAACAGAGTCATGTGATAAATCATTTCCCATCCCTCCAGTCTGCCTCAGCACTGTCCGTTCACGGCACACAACAGTCCCTCAGCACAGGCAAAGGTCAGTTCTGCAGCAAAATGGTCAGAAGCTGAGACTTATGGGTAAGAAAGCTGGGAAGGAAGGGCATGGACATTGACTTTCCTGGCCTGACAAATAGGATCAGTGACCTTTTTTTGGGCCGGTTTGGCCCAAAAAAAAAAACTAAGCAACTGGCATGACACAGAGACAATGTGAGCCGATCTCTCTCCGTTGATGAGAGACGACAGGTGACCAGCGTGCTCTGGAATAAGTGCATGAATGAAGTGTTCCCTCATTAGCATCTCCAGTGGTTAACTGTAGAGTCAGAATGCATTTCATTAGCTGTGAAGAACTGACTGGTGCCTGCTCGTGTAATGAGCAGGACGACTGTATGGGAAGAAGAGTGGGTGTGTGTGTTCCGGTGGAGGGGGGGGGGGGTGGGGGGAGGGGGATATGGTTAATGAAAGAGGCAATTATAATGTAAAAGTCGAAATGAGACGGGTCATTAGTTTCCTTTGTGCACGATCGTGCATGTGTGTGTGTGTATTAAGCTATACACAATAATAATAGAGATGAGAGTACAGAATAAAACAAAAATCAATTGAAATGTTCTGTATGATTCCGTTTTTTTTTTTTGCTAAGTGAAACTTGCCGATACCGATCTGTGCCGATTTTAATTTCCTTCCATTTTATTTCACCAAATAAAGTACATGGTGACTGAGAGGTATTACATCTACTTAAGTATCTAAAAGTACTTTTTTCCTAACACAGTGAAGGCATCATTGCCACACACTGTACTGCTGATCTCCTGACACAATGATTTACAACGTGTGTTAGATCATAATCCATAATATGGACAACCACATGTATGTGCATACATATACACATACAGTATATACACATTTATACATATATATGCACATATATACTGTATATATACACACATATATACATATGCACATACATTCATATATATGCACATACATACATATATATGGACATATATACATATATACATACAGTATATGCACATATATACATACATATACATATATACATATATATATATATTGGAAAATACGTGTTTGGGCAATGTCGACATATCAGATATCGGCAAAAGGTTAATATCGGACATCCCTAACGTTTGGTGTAACATCATTCAATAGGAAATGGAACAGGAAAAAACGTTCATTTGTGGAAAAGGTTTTAGAGGAAAGGAAGGAGATCAGCCAAGGATGCTAGACTTAAAGTCTCTTCTGAACTTCTGTGGTTTTATCTTAGCATTGTTTTCTTGCACACCATCTTTGTCATTCAGATCCTTTCCCTCTGTGTATACTGTAGTGCTACTGAACCAAATCAAATAATAATCACAGTCGGGATAATAACCCGGCAAGTTGTTTAACAGCCAGTGGCACACGACCAGAGCAAGCAGAGGGACATGCTGTGTAATCAGAAGCTGAGAGTAATTGCAAATATCAGGCCTGAGGCTGGGAGAGCAACAAACAAGGAAGACACTGTGTGTGTGTGTGTGGTTGGGAGGGTGGAGGGAGGGGAGGGGGTGATGGCAATAAAACCCATTCTGACCTTTGAACTGTCTGATAAAGAGCAAGTAAGAGAAGAATGTCCAAGAAAAAACACAAAGTCAATATCACCATTCCACTGTCATTAGTGTTTACAAATGGTGGTGATAATTATCACTGATTCTCATTAAAGAGCTCCTTTGTTTCCTTTAGCTCTGCAGCAGACCCTAACGCAATTTAGAACTAATTTCAGATTCTAACCCAGTGGGGCTTTCACACAAACAACTGCCTCTCAGTCAGTTTGCTCTTTGGTAAAAAAAAGGGGGGAAGGAATTATTATTATTTCCATTCCTGTCACCATAAAAATACAAAACCCACCCCCTCAGATAGAGCGAGCAATTTATTATTCCTATTCCACCTGTTATCCAAGGGCAACCGAACTTTACGTTGCATGAGTTCCTTGACATGAAAGTTTTCAGCCTTCAGACCCAATATCTTCGCAACGTCTCATTCTCAGGTCAACATAAACAAAAGGTCACAGAAAATATTAAATTAACAGTAAACCTCAAACGCTGGCAGTGATGGTTACTTGTTTGTAGGTTGCGTAAAAAAACAGTTTAGTTCAAAACTTAGCTCAAGTTGTGCAGATTACGTAAATATGCGATTATAAACTATATCGATATCGGCCACTACAAGTATCGATAATTAGAATAGGTTGAAAATAGTCTTTATCTTCCGTTCATTCACTGATTTCGCAACTGCTTTTTTTTTTCTAGAGTTGCTATTCACTAAAATCAATAAATAATTAAGAGTCAAACCAACGTCTCTAAGTTTGTTGCAGGAACACGGGAGGGGGGTCAACAAGGGGGGAGTGGGGGTCAACACGTCTTACCTAGCCCAACTCCAACGATAAGCCTCCCCGCCAAAAGCACCTCTTTGCCGGGGGCACTGCTCAGCACGATCCCTCCGACGGCGAAGAAGAAGCTGGCCAGCAGGATGCACACCCTGCGCCCGAAAAGCCCGTTGAGGAAGGCGCCCAACAGCGCAGAGAGTGCGGCCGCGGTTACAGTACAAGAGATGAGCAGCTCCTGCTCAGGAGCAGCTCCCCCTGCAGCAGGAGCATCGCCCCGGAGATCACCCCGGTGTCGTAACCGAACAGGAAGCCCCCCAGGGCGGAGAAAACGGCCAGGACATAGACGAAGCCGGGTGTGACATCCTGCTGGAACTGCTTGCGGGCTGCTCTCTCTAGATCGCCGGTGGTGGAGGAGGAGGAGGAGGAAGCCGCGCCGGCTGTTGCTGCTGCTGTTGCTGCTGCTGCCACCGGTGGTGGTGTTAGTGCTGCTCCGGCGGTGGAAGCTCCGGAGGAGGCGGTGGCGCCCTGGCTGCTGATGCTGGCGCTGGACGGTGCCTTGATGAGGCTCCGCTCACCTGCGTCGCCCGCTTTCCTCCAGCGCTCGCCCATCATGTTGCTCATACTTCGGAGGTTATAGTCATGCTTTCGCGACATATGGGAAACGCAGCACAGGACAGACTGCTGGGTTTTGGTTACTTTAAAAAAAAAAAAGAAAAATGAAAAGAACAAAACAGAACGCCCTGGAAAAAATAACAAAAAATAATAACTACTGTTAGAGGTCCAGAACAGTCCAGAATCTGAGTGCTGGCTGGTCAGAGAAGTTGTTGTTGCACTGCCTTGTGTGTGTGCGTATGTGACAGAGAGAGAGAGAGAGAGAGAGAGAGAGAGAGGGAGAGCGTGGGTCAGAGCATCACATCCATGTGGTCCTGATGAGAGAGTTGAAGAAGACTGTGGAGCAAAGGTAAGATAGGAGGAGTGTAGTGTGGCAGAGCACTCCGTCACTACCAGCGTCGGTATGACGCAAAGGAGTGTTTTTGGAGGCATTGTGTCGGAGTGAAGACTCTGAGTCTGCAAGCGTTCACTTACTACATACAGATAACAGAAAGTCTGCAGCGTGATCCACCCAGCAGATCGACAGTCAATTAAATGTACACGACATTTGCATCTTAGTTGACGAAGCTGCTGTAAATGGTCAAATGAAATACATGAAATAAAAGGGAGAAATATATTTCAATAACATCTGATTGCTTTGTTACATTGCAGTGATGGTGAGAAAAAATGCCACACATTGTTAGGAATTCAAATATAAACACAACATTTGCCATATATGCCTTGGTCTAAGTCCTGGTTTATAAATTCCAGTATATTGGAACTGATAAAGATATTGTTTATTTTGACGAACAAGAAATTATATATACATATTTAAATATATACAAACATACATATATGTGTATACATTTATACTGTACACCTATGATATACACATAGAGTATATACACATGTATGTATATATGTACTTGTATACAATTGTACACATATATGGTTGTCTGTATCTGTACAAGTATTTATACATATGTATGTATTTTGTAGACAAGGCCATCATACAAATCTAGATGCTCTTATATTTTATGTATTGCACAAATTAAATTAAAATACCGATGCTGTTAAATGCAGTTCTACAATAAGGATTCTTTCACTTCTCCACTTTCTCTATGATTCTACTGAAGTGCTCAGGCTGCCTCTGGCAAAACAGGACAACAGCTGCCCCCTACTGGATGGACTTCAGAGGTTCAGAGAATTTTTTCCCCCTGAATTTACAGAACCTCACTGAATGACCACTGCCTGCTGATAGCCCTTATTGATTAAGCTCTAAACACAAAAAAGTAATCTCTGAGAATGTGCTGGATCCCAATCCCACCCCTGGGAAACGAAGGCTTTGAAATGCATTCATGTGCATTTATGTACGTAGTGGATCAATATGTGGACGGCGGTGTCGCATAAAATGAAAGTAGCCTGTTAATGGTCCATGGTTGAGACCATTACATTACAGACGGAGTGCAACATAGGGGACAGGGTTACGTATCTGTACAGTGATGAACCGAATTTTATAGAGACAAAAAAAAAAAACATTAATGTAGAGTAAATTAACCTTGTGACCCCTGGGGATATACTATTGTTCTGTCATAAAAGAGTATGGGTTTTTGTGACAGATTGGTCAAAAATGATCAGAATAAATAAAATAAATAAAAACGATCTAACTATTTTTACTTCAGACCAGGTTTTCACAATAAGAATATCAGGTCAGTTTTGAATATATTTCAGAAAGACATTTATATTCCGAAAAAGATGAGGCAAAACTCTACCCTCCAGGAATATATTTCAGAAAGACATTTATATTCTGAAAAAGATGAGGCAAAACTCTACCCTACCTCAGGTTGTATTTATCTGCAACATACAACTGCCATGGGAATTTCTATGAAGTGTTGTTTGTGCTACATACTGTACACAACAAAAGTCCATGCTTTTTTACATCAGAATGGACTACAAGTACCTCAGATATACTCACTGGCCTGGTTTAGAAATGAGAACAGCCCCCAGCTGGCCAACTATGAAAGGTCACATCTGCCAAAGATCCAAGTTGGCCGTGTTGGTGTAGAACCAGAATCAGTGCAGCACATGTTCATCTGATGTCAGAAACACAGAAGTCAAAAGAAGCTTTGTAGGGAGAATTGTTACAACTAAGCCTTAGAGCCAAGTTTGTTTGTTTTTTTTTTAACAGAATTTAAAAATGTTTAAAAACAAAATATTGTGAACGTTAGTTTTTTTATTATGTAAAAACAAAAAATCAAAAACTATGAAAAACAGTTATAAAAAATTCACAATTGCACAAAAGTGAAACTTCATAAACAGGAGAGTTCTCGATAAACACAAGCTCAGGTTCTTACTAGAATGAGAAAGTGAATGGGCTCAGTTAAAACAAGGAAATAATTACTTCTATTATTTCTTACTTGTCTCTTTTCCACATTTTTTCTTTTAATTATATAAAATATTATGTGCTAAAAATGTATCTATACACGTATTCAGTTTGTCAACATATCGGTTTTTGTGCGAAAAAAACCCTTCAAACGTGTCACTCTTCCCACTTTTGAAGAGCAAAACCTCGCACAATTCCGCAAATTGGACATTTTATTTTGACGCTGTAAATTAGTTTCTTCTTAATTGTAATATAAGCACTTTTAATGACAATGAAAGACAAAGAAATTTTACTTATTTGAACTAATTTCAACCATTGCCAGAAAGAAAAGACATCCTCCCAACAACTGCTCCCGCGTCTGTCTCCTGCGCATGCGTGAGCATCCGTGGCGCGAACATTTTTTTTTTGTACTCTTTGAGTGAATTCTACGACTTTCTTTGGTCGGCTAAAGTTAAGCACGTTGTCTGTTGGTACCCTTACCTCTCACGTCCTGTAGGGAATCTGGACACGAAGTTCACCTTAGCGTGAAGCTGCCGTATTTTGCAACAAAGGTCGTATTTAGAGCTCAATCTTATGGCCGCTAAGTTGTACACGCACCGTGACCGACAGGATATGTGTTAGCTCCTGTGTTGTTGTTTTTTTATGTGATTGGCTGTTCACAAGTGACACAACTACGTCAAAACGACGAAAGGGGGTTGCCAGATAAAATACGTTTTTCAGGAAAATTAAATTCCCACAAAACTACAAAAACAAGTGGATGTTTTTTCATACGTAAAACCTGAGTGAGAATTCACAATCAACAAGTCATTATCCTTAAACCATCAGCTCGGGGGCTACTATCAACACGTGAACACCCCATCTGACCAATTACTAGATCTCAACAATAATTAATATTAATTAATATTGCCTTGGAGGTATTACTACGAGAGATCCTATGGTGAAATAGAGATGTTTGACACATAACTTCGTCCTTGAGTTGAGGTCACAGCCTATGACTAAGTTTGCTGTTCCAAATATAATATTTGTCTTTTCTTTCTCTTAGCTCCAAAACAGGGAAATAACAAACTACATCCTGGTTTAGACAACCTGATCATTTACCCTGCCTCATTCTTCATGTGCCCATTGTGGCGTTCTCACCTAGAAGGAAGCCCATTGGTCACTAATGTTTACCAAGAGTAAATCGTCCCCTCACTCTCTCTCCCCCTTTTAAGTTACAAGGTTTAATACTTCAACCATTATGGATGGGGCTTTCTACAAACTGAAGTTGCTTTTTTTTTATCATAATGAAATTATAATATTTCATATTTTATAAAGGCAAATACCTTTTTTTCACATGAAGATATGGGACCTTTGTTGCAATAATAAAAAAAAGAAAACATTGATTATCAAAATATAAAAATTAGAGATTTGTCTACATTCCTAGTTCATCACCTTTATGTTTAGTGTTCTGGTAACTTCCTGGTTTAAAATGTTACCTAGTTGTCGGGGGTAATAATCTTTGCTTAAATTATATCTATGAACCGTATTTTAAAAAAACAGAATCAATGGACCAGTTAAGGTTTGTGATAAGATAAGCTTAAATTTTTATCCCTCCAAGTACGTTTTTCAATGACAGGGTGTGTGTGTGTGTGTGTGTTGACACCGCACATATAAACCCTGGGGTGGGCTGCTTGTGTGTGTTCTACCTCTTTCACCTGCCTTTCAGCAGTGGAGGAGCATCAGGCAGCATGATTCCAACCACATGGATCTGGGTTTTGTTCTTCTCTCTGGTCTCAGGTACCAGACCCTGTTTCTTCATTTAGACTCTGGACTGTATTTTTATTTATTTATTTATTTATTTTAGATGAGCTAATTTTATTTTGTAGTTATTATTATTATTATTATTATTACAATTATTATTTATAAATTATTGTTATGATTATTAAACCTCATCTGGATTAATATTACGTAATATTAATTATTTATTATTATTTTTCTGGTTATCCTGATTTTTTTTCATATTATATTTTTTGAAAAAAAAAATAATGTGAATTGAATTTCTTGGTTTGACATATTTTGAATTAATGCCATTGAATCTCCAAATGCAAATGACAAAAATAATGAAAAGCTCCTTTTTCCATGTAGGTAGGTACAGTATGAAGTGTAAAGTTTTACTTCTTTTTTTTTTCAGAGTCAGTTGAATCGCTCTCAGCAGCAGAAACTCAGACATGTGAGTGTGTCACAGTTATTGTTCTATAGTAGTTGAACAGTTCTTGAATACTCCATTGGTACTTGAATACTGAAGTGAACAGGGTGTCCATTTTTTTTTCAACCAGACACCTGCAAGATGTTCGGCAGTGGCATAATTCAAACTTTTAATGCCTCCAGTTTCCACGTCCGCACCAACTGCCCGTTTACTCTCACCCACTTCACCCATGACCAGGTTGACTATGACATCACCACACTGCGGGGAGACGACGGACTTCTGTCTCAAATGGAGATCATCGTCAACAAAATCAGAACTGTCGTGCAGATTGGAGGAATCCTGGTAGAAAAGAAAAGGTTTGGCTGTAAAATAATTCTCTCCCTCGGTCTCTACACTGAACCATCACTGTTGTCCACTCACATATTCACTAATAATTATTCCCTTCAGTCCAACTTCCAGAACGCAGCCTGAGGGCATTTTAGATGTTATTCCTATTCAGCCAAACATCCTCCCAGCTCACACCTTGATGCATTCTTAATAACACCTGTAGAAGTTTATTATTAGCCCTAACACAGGAACACAGCATTATTAATTTATGGCATAGCTGACCTGAAGGATAATCCCTTCAGACTATCACTGTCCAAAACCTGGCTCTCAGACTTTAGGAATCGTGAAGAACCCAGTACTGTTTTGTTTTGTTTTTTTTAATGTTTGTGCTTGTTTGTATATGTTTGTCCATTTGTATGCAGTGTATCACTTCCATATGACCACACCTACCAGCACATTTTCCAGTATGGCACATACACAAGACTGAGGAGTTTGCTGTTTCCTCTGTCTGTCACCTGGCACACGCTCCCTGCAGGAATTGACACTGTGATGGTAAGACTGTTACAGAAACACATCCACACAGACAAAAACATTTTTACAAAAAACTTGGCAACTAAGGCAACAAGTAGATGTGATTGTTTTTCAAAATAATTTTTTTTCTGTGCCACCTGGTACCAAATGATCCACGGCCTGGTACTGGTCCACAACCCTGAGGTTGGACACCTCTTCTTTAGAGCAGTTGTCAGACCCATTCAAGCTTATGTAATGACTTGGTTTTTACTGTAGGTGGAGCTGGAACAGGGGTTCAGCACTGAAATGACTGGACTGTGTGGACAACCCAATGTTTCAAGTAAGTAAAAGATTTTGAAATAAAATGGTCAAAACAAATGTTATGCAATTTGGCTGTTTTACCCTAGTAAAATTTAATGTTACAATTCAGTTAAAGAAAATAACTAATGAATTGTCGTTTTGTTCAATGTGTGTAAGCTGTGACCAATATAGTGTGTAAGTATATTTTTTTTGTTTTTCATATAATTAGGCAGTGAGGAGCAGCTGATCACGAGCAGCATGATCCCTGATGACTTCTGTCAAATCCGGGACAACGTCTTTGCTGTGAATCACGTGAGTTCAAATACAAATACAAAGATCGTAACTTCAGAGGGTGCTGTAAATGTATTTATGAGAACGTGAGCTGATTCTGTGCCTTTTAAGACACTTCTGTTGGAGTCATTTTGGAAGATGGTATAATTTAAATAATCACTAGTATACACTGGGTTTACAGGACAGAGTACTTTATTTTGGTATTTCCTCAAAGTTTATAATTGAATAATCCTAAAATAGAGTGTATTACAGTATTATATTATTATTAGTTTGTTCATTTCTGTTTCTCAATATTCACATTTTTCTACATTCTTCTTTTTTTTCCAGCTGTGCAACAAGTTTTTTTCCCACACAATGGACTGTCTCCAGGACAGGAATCCTCACTTCCTGCGACTCTGTGAGGAGAACATGTACAGTTACGAAAGCAGCAATTATGTCCGCTGCTCCTTTTTCAGTGAAGTTGTGCAGCAGTGTAGACACAACAGCTACATCTGGATAATCTGGAGAACTCTAACTGGCTGTGGTTGGTGACCTTTGATACTTTTGTCTCTGAATTTCTATTTTGTGAAGCACATTTTATGACCTATCACGATTTTCTGAACCCCTGTACCAGCGGCTCCTACCTGCCCCGGGGACCTGGTGTATGAAGAGCAGGGAGCTGCTTTTGTTCCTAGCTGTTCCAACTTTAACCCCAGTCACTCCCGCCAGAACCTCATCAGATCCTGTGTTTGCCCAGAGGGTAAATAGTGTGTGTTGTTTCCCGCTCTCTGAATTCATTTGACCTCTCTGTAAAAGCTGCTTTCACCGTTTTCTAGGTTCAGTGCTAAATGATCAGACTGACGGCTTCCACTGTGTGAACATTTCCAAATGTCCGTGTAAGTTTGCCGGCAGGAGCTACGTCAGCGGAGACAAGCGCAGCACCAACTGTCAGACGTGGTGAGGAGGCAGAAAAAAAAAAAGATTTCCTGGAGAAAGATTTGTTTTTTCTCAAATCTCACCTGTGGATTTCCCGCCTCAGTGTGTGTCAGGCCGGAGGGTGGCATTGCTCTGAAAACTCCTGCCCACCCAGGTGTCTCCTGGAAGGGCAGTTTGTGACAACATTTGATGGCAAGCAGTACGCCGTCCCTGGTAAATGTGCATATGTGGCATCACAGGTAATTGTTGACAGTACATGATTAAAAATTAACATGCTGAAACCTGTTTGGTTACTCACTGCTGTTTTTTCTTTTTAAATGCTTCGTTTTTAAGGGTCTTAACTGGACCATAATGGTTCGGTTTTCTGAAAAATATTCCTCTCTACACACAGCTGTGCTGCAGCTTCCTCAGGTACTTGGTCATTAGCACCTTAATTTCTTTATATATTTCTATTTTTTCCTATATTTTTAAAAACAAACACACATTTTTGGAAAACTAGTTTTGTAAAATATAGATATGATGTCTTTTTTCTTTAGATTATTTTTTATTATTATTAGGGCCAGAATTATAGGATTTGTGGGCTAGCAGTGGTCCCTGGGCCAGGAGTTTGAGGCTATGAATTATGTATTTAAAAACTGTCAATATTCATATGTACAAAAAGGAGATTAAAATATCCATGTTATTTGCAGGTTACATACACATTCTCAATAAACAGTGTCAAAGTGGGAGACGAGGAGATCAGCGAACTCCATGAGTCTGGTAACAAGAGGAGAAGAGACAAAAGTCAACAGTGGATAAAACTTTGTTGACTGTTGTCTTGTCTCATCAACTCTGCAATAAGTTGTGGTTGTTTTGTGTGTGTGTGTGTGTGTTTTCTAGTCTTGTAATGCTTTCGTCATTCCTGTTAAATATCAGATCATGCCCTGGTTTTCTGGCAGTCCTCCATGTTTGTCCAAGTCCAGACATCTTTTGGTATGAAGATCCAGGTCCAGATGTCTCCTGAGATTCAGCTCTACATCACTCTTCCCAGAAACAACCCTTACAACGTGTCAGGTCAGTTACATACAGTAGAAGAAGTAAGTTGGTATTAGCATTTCCGCAGGTATTGGCTGTTACTCACAGGCGTAGTTTCTGATTTGGGAGACATGGGCGGCGACTTCGTGACATTGGACAACTTGCCCGAGAAAAGACATAATTACTGTACTTTATAAAACTGATTTTCACTTGTTTTTAGCATGCTGCTAGGTGCAGCTACTGCTCAATCCAGATTATTTGCCGTAGTGGGCTTTCGAATTTTTTATTACCACTCTTGTGTTCAAAAGATAGATAGAAGATAGATATTGTTCTCTACTTTTGAGAGCAGTGTTGTTGCTTTTTGACACAGTTAAACATCCAAACTGGTACTGCTAATACGTATTGTGCTAGCGCTGGTTAGCTGTTTTTTCATAGCTCAATTGCTAATTGCCGCTTTCCGCGGTTCATGATTCTTTTAACTTTAAACTTGTATTTGTCTTTTTTTAGCATACTTTATAAATAATAAGCATCGGAAAATATATATGTTCACATCGGGGCAGTTAGGGGCAAAATGCTACTTAGCTCAGGGCGCTAAATAATCGGGTTACAGTATGTGCAGTATATGTACTTTACTTTTACTTGGTACTTGGTACTGTACTGAGTGTTAATAAGAGTTCATCCATCTGTCAGGTCTGTGCGGCAACAGCAACAACGACACCACAGACGACTTCACCACAAGCACCGGGATCGTCGAGAATTCACCACAGCCGTTCGCTCTGTCCTGGAGCGTGGGCACTTGTGCCGCGAACATACCCCCCATCTGCAGCAGCACCGACAGCGGTACAGACGGATGATAAAAATACACTCGTGTACAGTAGCTGCCTACAGTGTGCACAGATTTTCACGTAGCATTTGAATATTTTTTTAATAAAACGCCAGCAAAATTGAATTTCATACAAGTATATGTCAACATCCTATAATAATGTTTTTTTTGTTGTTGTTTTTTTTTAGAAATCTTCGCTGATGAGATGTGTTCTGTACTGAGAGACCAAACTGGAATATTTGCCAAGTGTCATGATCACATCCCAGCAGATCAGTTCTACACTGTAAGACTTAAATCAAGGGTTTTCTATACTGAGAATAATCGTGTCTTATTTTAAATATGTGCAAGGTACAGTGAGTAGGCCGCCATTTATAAACTAACCATGTCAAAATGACACTGGGAAAATCAGTGTCACCTCTCAATTACGCAATAACAATCAGATTCCTTAAAGTTATGCTAATTTGTATTTCAAAACATTTTGGTATGTGTGAAAAGTTGGTTTCAAAACATTTTGGTATGTGTGAAAATTTGGGTGTGTATATATATATATGTACATATACAGTGGGTACGGAAAGTATTCAGACCCCTTTAAATTTGTCACTCTTTGTTTCATTGCAGCCATTTGCTAAAATAAAAAAAAGTTCATTTTATTTCTCATTAATGTACACTCAGCACCCCATCCTGAGTGTACATTAATGAGAAATAAAATGAACTTTTTTGATTTTAGCAAATGGCTGCAATGAAAAAAAGAGTGACAAATTTAAAGGGGTCTGAATACTTTCCGTACTCACTGTACATATATATATACAAAATATATATAGTTTATATGCATATGTTTGTGTTTATTTATATATATATAAATACATATATATAAATATTATATTATACCGATTAATCAATCAAACTTTAAATACACTTGCAGTACCTCTGCAGACCTCCAGGAACTGATTTGTGATATAACATCAAACATAAACACAAAGAATTTCACAAAATTGTTCTGTATTGATGATGAACAATAAGATCGTTGTTTCCTTCAGACTTGTGTCGGGAGAACCTGTAACTGTGGCAGCCACCTACAGCAGTGTTTGTGTGTTGCTCTGGGCAGCTATGCTAAAGCCTGTGCCATTTTGGGCGTTGCCGTTGGCGACTGGAGGAAAGCCACCAACTGCAGTAAGTTCAGCCTTGTAACCAGACAGTTAATCCAGGTTAATCTGAGCACAACCAATAAACACAGGAGTAAACAAACACTTAGAGAGTTGTTAGTACAATGTACTTATGAAAAGGATGACCTGAATTCCTGAGTTCTCTCATCATTGGTTCTCACACATTTTCAGACAACTTAGATTAAAAAAAGTAATTTTGACTCTGGAAGTAACACCAACATAAAATACAGACGCGATTTATTACTTTTAAAGTTATTAAGAAATCACCAAAAGCCAAACTTGACAAATAATCATACTGAAAATCAGGTTCACCCACTTACCACCAGAGGGAGCCCAACTACTACAAGTGGTAGGTACAGTATGCCATCGTTTGAATCCCTGATTATAACCATTTACGAATTTAAAAAATACAAAATCAGTTTTTTTGTTTTAAATGACGTCATTAAAAATTATAATCACATTTTTGTGCCCTTAGCTCTGACATGTGCAAACAATCAACAATTCTTCTATGACACACGGACCTGCAACCACACATGTAGGTCCCTGTCTGGGCCTGACCCTCGCTGCTGGTCCGGGGATGCTCCTGTGGAAGGCTGTGGTTGTCCAGAGGGAACTCACCTGAACCAAGGAGGAGTCTGTACTCCAAAGTCAGAGTGTGAATGTCATTACAGTGGTGGAGCAATTCAGCCGGGGCCTGTGGTCATTGATGGACTTCAGTGGTGAGTGGATCCTCAAAAATAAATCAGATTTCTGCCTTTATTCTTGTCATTAAAGTCGTGGCCCAAGAGGTGAAGACTGGAGGTTTGTGATCAACAGTAGTTGACTTTCTTCTTCTTCTTCTTCTGTGTCTCCTAAAGCCTCTGTGAGAATGGAGAACTACACTGTTCCAAGGACTGTGGTAAGTACATTTTCCTTTTGTAAAAAAAAAAAATCATCTATGTTTTCAAGGGCAGTGGTTCTCATTTTTTTTAGTTTTTCTCAGAATTCCTACAAAAAGTAATACAAAATAGTGCAATTTTCTCACTGTGAGACAAACGGAAAAAAAAGTCTAAATTTCAATCAATTTGACTTACTGTGGCCCGAGAATACAGTTCTTTGCCCCCTATGGGAGCCTGCTCCCCACTTTGAGAACCACCGATTTAATGAATCTTTTTATTTTGAGCTGTGATTTGTTGCAGTACATATGAAGGTCAATGAGCTCTTTTGTCGTTAACTGGACTTGTCTCAGGTTGCAGGAATGGGAAGGTTTGTTACCACTGCTCAGAGCGTCCAGTTAACACGGCCCAGAAAACCTGTGACAGTCTCGGAAAACTACAGGTTGGTCAACGCGGTCTTTCTTATCCAGTACGGTGTCCCCTGCTGGGCGTGAACAAAAATTTGAATATGTTGATATATATGTTGTTGTCCTCTCCAGGCTGTGGCTGTGACCTGTGAGAGCGGCTGTTACTGTCCACATGACCAGTACGAGGACCACCGTGGAAACTGTGTTTCCATGGACAACTGTACCTGTGTGTACAGTGGGAAAGTGTTTGCTCCAGGACAGCACGTCAAAACCAACTGTAAAACATGGTAACATCTAACCCCCCCCCGATCCCTCACCCATACACTGATGTAACAATCCTGTCTTCAAATTGATGGTCCTGTTACTGGTCCTACAGCACATGTGGTCAGGGTCGGTGGCACTGCACAGATGAACCCTGTCCTGGCCAGTGTCAGGTGTATGGAAACGGACACTACCAGACCTTTGACTCTAAATGGTACCGCTTTAATGGACACTGCCAGTACACACTTGTGGAGGTGAGGTCAAGACAAACCGAGCCTGGAGTTCTGCCCTGCACATATGTTTTAGAGATAATACACAATATGTACTTTCCAGAACACTCTGGATAACTACCTTATTTACTGCTTTCACAACACCAGATATTCTTCTCTTTTTATTAAATTTTCAGGATCATTGTGGAAATGAAAACGGTTCGTTTTCTGTCAGTGTGGAGAGCGTTCCCTGCTGCGATGAAGAAATGACCTGCTCTCGGTCAATTGTTCTGGACATTTATGTGATTTTTCATTCTTTTTTTTTTCCTTTTCAAATACAAATACTGCTGGCCACATTTTTCTTCAAATACAAATACTGCTGGCCACATTTTCATTTTTCATCATTTAGTTTCATTCTTTTTTATTATTTTTTTATTTCTGGTTAAACCAGTGACTGACATTTCTTTGCTCGACGTTGTTGCAGGGCACAGTCACTCTGACGCTCAGTGATCAGAGGGTGACCAGGCGTCTTCAGACTAACACAACCTCGCCGATGGACTTACTTTACGCCACACGCACCGTTGGACTCTACATCATCGTCTCGGTGCCAAGCAAAGGGATAACGCTCATCTGGGACAAACACACCAGAATCACCGTGGAGCTGCAACCAAACTGGAGAGTGAGTAAACAAGATGTCCATCAGGGGTCACCAACGACATTTGTCAGAGGGCCAGGAGTTTATTTTGGAATACAGTCGTGGGCCGGACTGCACGGTTCAGCGGTCTGGATGTAGCCCATGGACTGCCAGTTGACAATCATTGACGTAGATTTTATAACTTTGAGATAGTGGTGCTTTGACCCAGAGCCAATGTCTCTGTCATTGGTGTAGAACCCCAGGATTCACCTCCTGGGAAAGATCGAATCCTGGTTAGGGCGGTTGGTCCCTTCCAGTGGACTCACCCCCCGCAGGAAGGTACGGGGGGGTTGGTACGGTGCAGTATGCTTTCTGTGGCGGTCATGAAGACTGCTGCCCCTGCGACCCAATAACGGATTAGAGGATGAAAATGGTTGGATGGATGGATGGATGAATGGATGGATGAAGGTTCTTCGAGATTTAAATTAAAAATGCTTCTACCTCGATGTCCTGTGTTGTAGAGTCGAGTGTGTGGGCTCTGCGGGAATTTTGACTCCAGTGCGATGAACGACCTACGGACAAGTGGCTCAGCAGGTGAAACACTTTTTCCCTCTGTTTTTCAATAATGCTAATTTTTTTATTAGCACTTGTCATGGCAATCAATTTGAATCTCGTGTGTTAAGTGCTGTCCAGCCCCATGGTCTTTGGGAACAGCTGGAAGGCCGCCACGCCCCCGTGTTCTGATGTTACCACGGAGATGTTTCCATGCAAACGCAACTCCTACTGCGCCGCCTGGGCCCAGCGCCGCTGCATGATCATAACGTCAGACACCTTCAAAGACTGCCATTTAAAAGTATGCAAATAATGGCTGTCTGCATTTAACACAGCACTGACTGTATTAACTGTGACGCACAAAAAAAAAAAAAAATACTGAAAAGTTTACTCCGCTCCACAGGTGGATCCGGAGCCGTACTATCAGGCCTGTGTGCAGGAGTCCTGCTCCTGTGAGTTTGAAGGGAAGTTCCTGGGCTTCTGCACAGCTGTGGCCGCCTATGCTGAAGCCTGCAGTGACCAGGGTGTCTGTGTCAATTGGAGAACCCCCGCACAATGTCGTACGTTAAATTTATCCACATCTGATTTTCTTTTTTTTTTTGGATAATTTTTAAGTTACAGTTAAACAGTGGTTCTCAAAGTAGGGGGCGGTCCCCTCTAGGAGGACTCAAGCATGTAAATTAATGTCAGTTTCAATTTTTGAAATTCAAGAGAAATTGCACAGATTTTGTTTTTTTTTTTGGTTTTTTTGGTAATTGAAAATCAAATTTAGTGGACCTTTGAAGTAATTTTTCTGATTATTTCGCTTTGGTCGTGGACAATAATAGAGGGTGGGGGTGTGCAGGAACCACTGACTCTTTGGTAAAGGTATATCGTAATAATGTAAATAAATTAACGCTACAGTTACTTCATGTCAGTCAGTGCTACACTCACCTGTAATAATCTGTCGTGCAGCCGTCTACTGCGACTACTACAACCAGCAGGGCCAGTGTACCTGGCACTACCAGGCCTGTGGAGAGGTGCTCACCTGCGGGAAAGATGATTATTTCACTCACAAACTGGAAGGTAACTACAGTACTTTCTGGAGCTCCACTAGATCCTGAAGTGGAAGTTGTGATTTGTTGTCAACTTATTAAAAACATCGGATATTTTGTGTGCGTTGTTGAAAAAGGCTGCTACCCCAGATGTCCAGAAGATTCCCCGTACTATGACGAGAACACTGGTGAATGTACCACACTGGTACAGTGTACCTGCTCCTTTAATGGCACTGTCACCCCGCCTGGGGCAAAGATAATGTTGGAGTCCATTATGTGGTAAGTCTTAGGCAGGTGTATACATATCCTGTGTACTACTGTTTCGAGTATTTGAAGCCCATTTTCAGCAGTATAAAACTAAAGGAGGTCAGTTTATATTTTTATATAAACACATGCAATATATATACACATATATAGAAATATATACACATATATATACTTATATGCACACATATATAAATACATACTGTATATATTTTATATAATATATGATGAGTACCTCAAGCACCACTGCAACATGGACAACAGCAACATCAACCGCGCCTACGTCACCACTCGGAACCACACCCTCAACTACTTCACCAACAACAGAAACGACTCCACCTTCACCATCACCATCACCCACTACACCAGCACTTACAACAGTCGAATCGCAGTCAACCACATCTCCGACCTCTCAAACACCAACCACCACCAACGACCAGTCAACTACTAAGTCATGGTCAGAGGTACCATCAACTACACCAATCCCAACAACCGAACCTGCCTCCACCACCTCAGCGACTGTGAGTACCTCAAGCACCACTGCAACATGGACAACAGCAACATCAACCGCGCCTACGTCACCACTCGGAACCACACCCTCAACTACTTCACCTACAACAGAAACGACTCCACCTTCATCTTCACCATCACCCACTACACCAGCACTTACAACAGTCCAATCGCAGTCAACCACATCTCCGACCTCTCAAACACCAACCACCACCAACGACCAGTCAACTACTAAGTCATGGTCAGAGGTACCATCAACTACACCAATCCCAACAACCGAACCTGCCTCCACCACCTCAGCGACTGTGAGTACCTCAAGCACCACTGCAACATGGACAACAGCAACATCAACCGCGCCTACGTCACCACTCGGAACCACACCCTCAACTACTTCACCAACAACAGAAACGACTCCACCTTCACCATCACCATCACCCACTACACCAGCACTTACAACAGTCGAATCGCAGTCAACCACATCTCCGACCTCTCAAACACCAACCACCACCAACGACCAGTCAACTACTAAGTCATGGTCAGAGGTACCATCAACTACACCAATCCCAACAACCGAACCTGCCTCCACCACCTCAGCGACTGTGAGCACTGCAACATGGACAACAGCAACATCAACCGCGCCTACGTCGGCGACTGCCACCGTCGTCACGTCTACTGTAACGTGGTCAGAAACGACTCCAAACTCGCCTTCACTTACAACGGGCACCACCGGCCTCTCAACCTCTGCTGCAACACTGCCACCGTCGACCACCTCTGGGACGGAGCCGCCCACGTCTGTGGGACAGACCACGGCCTTACAACCGTCTACGTCCACAGCAGCTGCCCCAGAATCTACGACCGTCAAGGTCGTGACAGCGGGTCCACACACGCCAAAGCATCACAGCACGACACATAGTTGCGAGGAGTGTAGGGATCTGAAGAGGAAAAAGACCTGGGCTTGCAACGAGGTGTGGACGGAGGACTGTTTCAATAAGACCTGTGTTGGTGGGAAAATTGAGTTGACCCCCGTGGTCTGTCCGGAACCCACGGTTCCTACGTGCCCCAGAGACCGAGTCACAAAAGTTTCAGATGGATGCTGTGAAACATGGAAATGCGACTGTAAGTTTTTTGATGTTGGATGTTTGCGGTGGTGTTGACGACTGTGCACCGACTGTAGTTTCGAAGTTTGTTATTTGTATGGTTAATAATTACCTTGTAGATTGCCGTGCTAGTTGAGCGTGTTGTTCAGTCACCGAGTATTTTGTCCAAACCAATGAAATGTTCATACAAAAGATGTGGTCTGGTGGTCTGTAAGGGTACTGCATGCTTGTTTGTTTCATTTGTTCTTGTTTATTTTTTTCATGATTTTTTAATTAGTCTTGCAAGGGTTAGCATTTAATGTTTATGACTTCTTATGTGTATGGAAAAGGCAACATTGCTCTACCTTCTTGTTCCAGGTCGTTGCGATCTTTATGGCGATCCCCATTACATCACCTTTGAAGGTGTCGCCTTCGATTTCCTGGATGAGTGCACCTACATCCTGGTGGAGGAGCGGTCACCTCAGCATCATCTGTCCATTTCTGTGGACAACTTCTTCTGCATGCCCGGCTCAGCCTCCTGTGCTAAAGGCATCTCCCTCCGATACCAAAGCCACGTGGCCACACTGAGCATCATCCAGCCTTTTCGCACAGTACAAGTAGGATAGCGTGCAAATATTACTTCAGCCGCCTCATAAAGCGTTTACACAAATCTGATCTGGATTATTCACTGACTCCTCTGTTTGTCTCAGGTCGCCCTCGACGGTAAAATCATTCAGCCGCCATACGAGGAACACGGGCTGAGGTTTGAAACTACAGGGTATGTGGTGTCGGTCCACCTCCCAGACGTCCGCTCCTATGTCTCTTTAAGTCCTTCGTACACCCTAGTGGTCAATCTGGCCATGGAGCATTTCTTCAACAACACGCAGGGACAATGTGGTACGTCAGTATTTACACATTAGGTCAATGGTTACCAAACTTTTTTTTGTTGGGATGTCTGATAATATTGGCGCGATGTTAGCATAAGTATGTAATATCGGAATGAATTGTTATTGGTTTTTCCCCTCATAATGAAAACCTGATAATGCTTGGGTTTCACCAAATATTCAAATTGCTTTAAAAAATGTATTTTGTATAAATTGTTAATTTGTGGAATGCGTCTCGTGGGCATCAGAATAAAAGTAGGTAACGTGGTAATTCCAGGCAGGAGATACCTAAATATTGTTTTGGGGAAAACGGCTGTCTAAGTTTGTGTATGGTGTTTTTAATCACAATTTAAAAAATTAAAAAAATCTTTTACTAGACTGTTCAGGTGACCCGAAACGGGGCTGAGACCCCAAGGTTGTTCATAATTTTTAAAACACTTTTGTCTCCATCTGCTCCAGGTGTGTGCGGTGGTCCGTCCTGTGTACGTAGAGAAGGGCAAATCGAGGACAACAGTTGTTGTGATAAAACGGCCTATGACTGGGTCGTGGCCGACCCTCTGAAACCCGCCTGCAGTTCGGCGCCCAGGAATGTGTCCTGTCATCCGACAACACCAACTGACGGCCCCTTCACCCGCACCACCACCTGCCCTTCAAACCCCGTCTGTGAACTGCTGGAGCATCCGTAGGCAACACACAAAAATACACACCCATGTTTTGTTTTGTTTTTTAAGTAAAACCGTAATCCATTTTTGTCTTTTAGAGTCTTTTCAGAGTGCAGAGAGAAGGTCAACCTGCAGCTCAAAAAGAGGAACTGTCAGACGGACTCGTGTGGGAACAGAGCTGTTCCGTGTTCTGCTCTAGAACAAGCGGCCGAGGAGTGCAAGAACGCCGGCGTCTGTGTGGACTGGAGAACACTGACCGATGGCCGCTGTGGTATTTTTATGTTTCGTGTGTGTTTTATCTACGTGGCCCACTTCGGTCGTACCACCGCACCATTTACCTGACTCAAAAATCTGTCTCCGTGTTCCAGACGTAGCTTGTTCAACAGGACTGGTCTACAGAGAGTGCAGCGACAAACTGGACGACTTCTGCTACGGAGGGTTAGAAAATTGAACTGATTTACCCTAACTTAACTTCTACTTCACTACACACACACACACTAAAAGATCTGTCATTTTGTCTGCACAGACAACAACATCCAGGGTCCTCGCTGGACAAGGCCAGCTCAGGGTGTTTCTGTCCTAGTGGTCAGATAAGAGCTGGGAAATACTCCGTCAACTGCGTGTCCAACTGCTCTTGTGAGTAACACGTAGTACCGCAAACCTTTACAGTATAATATACATTGTTACACACTTACGGGTGGATTTGTATCTGTTCACCCACAGATTGTAAAGGACCAATGGGAGAGCCCAGACTGGTAGGAGCAGTGATGGGTTTTTTTAATTTAAAAATAATAATAATATGGTTTTAAAGCTGCAGTCCTTGTCTCTGTCTCCTCCAGCCTGGTGAAGTGTGGAAGTCCAACTGTCTTCTGTGTACGTGTAACAGCCAGACTCTGACAGAGCAGTGTTTTCCAAAGCCCAGTCCACCTGCCCCTCTCTGCAGCCCCGGCTCTGTCCCCGTGAACGTTTCCTGCTGCGGTGACCAGGCCTGCGGTGAGCGCAGGAACTTCCTCGTTTGTTTGTTTTTTAATCTATCCTCTGCCTAAATAAACACTGTTTTGTTTTGGCGTTTTGTTTTTTTTTTCAGTTGAGAAGACCTGCAGTTATAAGGACAAGACGTACAAGGTGCAGTACAGTAAATGGCCACATGATAACACGAGCACTGGAGGCGTTTCCTCCAGAGGAGAATTTAAGTCTGAACTGATTGTGTGTTTGTTTTTGTGGGTGTGTGTCTGTGTCTGTCGATAGATAGGAGACACGTGGAAAGATGCGGCCCTTCCCTGCATGTCGTTCAACTGCACCAAAGAGGGAGTACATACGGTTACGGACAGCGTTACCTGTCCAGAAGACCGCTGTCCAGGAGACGAGGTACACACTGTCTGCAACAGTTCTCACTGGTTGTTAATGGACATAAACATTTTTTAATTTATTTTATATTTGAGCAAGATTGTGGTGTACTATAGCACAGAGCTCCCCCTGCTGACATAGTCTCTCCCATTTCTCTAGGTTTGAACTGGCTTCATTATGTAAACAGAAACAGATATTTTCTGCATACTACACATACTATACTTCAGTACTATACTGATGTTTAAAAATATTTTTTTAAAGTTTTCCTTGTCAACTATGAGAGTTGTCTTCATGTTATATATATATAATTTTTTTAAAGGTCACATTTTGAAGCAGAACCTAATCATTTTGGGTGTTGAAAATAACTGATGTGGGTTTTGTTCTCCAGGTGAGGAGGGTCGAGGAAAAACAGCCGATCTGCTCAACATGTGAGTCCAGAACCAATCACACTCCAATCATAACTCATCTGAGTCATCTGCTAATAAATGATTGTGATCTAACTCGCATGTGTAAAACTGTAACTTGGATCATTAAGACCCCCACCCTAAAACATCTATGTTGCCCATATGACTCCAACTTTTTTATCCTATCACTGTGTTTTCTTTAAACAACAGGTGAAGTCAACTGTTCGCCAAAGATGTCCCGCTTTGACCTCAACATGAGCGGCTGTGCTACAAATATTGAGCTGCCAGTGTGCCAAGGTTTATGTCTGCCGCAGCACAGGTGAGACCACCACCGCTCCACTGCTTTCTCCGCCATTTTTGAGCCACGGCACAAATTTTTATAGTTTTAAGTCCAACGTCGCACCACCAAACAAAAATGTCACAAAAATATTATCATCTACAAAAACTATTATAGTTTAAATTTGCTCACAATTTTCTTACTTGGTGTGAAGCCTGGGCCTGTTTAGTTGAACACCACACCGATATGCTTGCAGGAATTGAAGAAAGACACACACACAGATTTTCAACACCTGTTTTTATAGCCATCTAGTTCCACCTTGTAGGAAAAAATCTTTGATTATTCTGCCCTTCACTGTTGCCTAGATCATTGTTTCCCAAAGACTGGGTCGCGACCCTTAGGTGGGCCGCAAGAGATTTTCTTTTAGGGTCACATCTCACATCATGTTTCCTAGGAGTTTACAAATAATGTCTTTTGACTTGGGTCGTGAAGATTTGTGACTTTTAAAATATAGGTCCCCCCCAAAAAAGTTTGGGAAACACTGGCCTCGATGAACACAGACAAATATTTGCAGTTAATAAATATTAGTATTCAGACCAATTAATTTGAATAATTTTCAATGGTACCACCAATGTACTCCATGTAAACCATGTAAACCATGTAAACAGTCTAAGTGGCTGCAGAGCTTTTTTCATAACTAGGTGGCGCCACCTAGTGACTGCAGAAGCCACCAAAAAAGTCTACATTTAAAGGAAAATATCACAATTCCCACCTTTAAAATAATAATTATATTAATGTTAAGTATGTAGTAATTTAATTACACACACGGTGTGGGGACTACTAGAGTACTCCAGAGTAGTATTAGATGTAAGGAGTATTTTAAATGCAAAAGTCACTCACTTTTTTTTGCTCTTTGTCCACTTATATTAATGTTAAGTATGTAGTAATTAAATTACACACACAGTGTGGGGAGTACTAGAGTACTCCAGAGTAGTATTAGCTGTAAGGAGTATTTCAGATGCAAATATCACTCACTTTTTTTACTCTCTTGGTCCATGATGACAGGGTGGCAGTGCTGCATGGTGACCTGCAGGTGGTGCAGAGTAACAGATGCTGTCAGGAGCGGAGTTCAGTCAAGAGGTCAGTGACCCTGCAGTGCTCTGACCACACCAGCAGACTGTTCACCTACGAGCATATCACCAGCTGTGAGTGTAGAACCTGCGGGATACTGCGCTGAGAAGTACTTTAAAAAATAACGACGTTTATCCAATCAGTTAATAATAATCTGTTAAATTCAGCAGACATTGATTTAAAAAAATACATTTTTCTCTCTTCGTATTCTTCATTTTAAATAAATCCTCACGGTGAACTCGCTGTCCTGTTTGCTGCTGTCTGTCAGTTCACCCTCACTCACTGTTGGCAGCCACTCAGCCTGGTCTTTGATCAGCGCCATTAATGTGTGTTTTTGACTTAAGGAGGTAATGGGTCGTTTTAGCTCTTTAACTCTCACGACAGACATTAACCATTGAGGCTCTGGAGGTGGCGCCGTGGAGACACGAGCTAGTTTGGATTCATTCACAGCTGATTTAAGTTAAAAAAATTCTGTTAGGCAACTGGACGTGAATTTTCTAAAAGAAGACGTTTCACCTCTCATCCAAGAGGCTTCTTCAGTTGTGTGTGTGGGTTTCGGTTCAGAAAAAACTTAGGAGGATCTTTAACCAACACCAGATCCCCGTGCATTTCAAACCTGGCAACACCAAGGAATAAGCTGGACAAGGTGGTTAACGCCAGTCAGTGCAGTGAGGAGTGTACGGACCTGTTCATTCATGGGGAGACTAAACAACCCACATACAAAGCACTTTTAATACCCAAAAGTTTCACCTCAGTTTCACACAGCAAAGTGGCAGGTGACCGACACTTTCACAGTTGACCCCAAGACCCCACCTAACAGGGTGGAGCTGAAGTAGCTTTATTTTTTTCCTTCTTCGATGTATGTAAGCCTTCCATTTTGTCCTGAAAAGGTGGGATGAGAGGATGTGATGTATATTTCTCAAGCAATAGGACACAGTAGAAGAGGCCATTGTTATCAGTCTATCAATGGAACAGGAAGACTTTGATCAAGCCCAGGAAACCCCCAGTCTTAGAAAAGCCTGAGTTTTCTCCAGCAGAGAAAAGCATTTTATTTTTTGGAAAAACAGCCAACCATCAGAGGGAGCGGGCTTTTAAAATAAGCTGTGGCCCAGCTTCACGCTGCTGCTGTTTGTTGTCCATTCAAGAGCGTGGATACTGAGGAGGCGTGGGATGTTTCCACCGGAGGATGTGCGAGCAGACCTCTGATCTCTGCAGCGCAGGTCAGACCTGTACCCCACTTCTTCACTACTTGTCGTGTAGCTGTTACCTGACTCTGAGTGTGTGTGTGTGTGTAGGGGTTGGTGGGCATTCAGCTCTTTTTATTGACATGATCACCAAGTGCACAGGAAAGGCTGGGTTACTGATTATAGGTGATGTTTGTAGTTTGTTTGTGATAAGACTGCGACTTTAAGCACAAAGTCCTGCCAGGTACGACGGAGCGCCGGCTACTTTCAGACATCACCGACATCCGTCACAGGAGCTCTGCCCCGTCGCAGGTAAATATTCTTCAGGTTTTTAATTTATGGCACTGTTTTACTTCACTGAATGTCATTTCTATTTTGAAATTTTTGTTGATTTTTAGCCTTTTAGTCACTTTTATTAAAATGAAGACTTAAAATGACATTTGGTCCTCTATTGGATAATCACTGACTCAAATAATAATAATAATAAAATATATATATATACATATATGTATATATATATATAAATATATATATATATGTATATATATAATTTTATCATGTGACTGTTTACCTTGTTAATGCTGTTCCAGTACTGCAAGGTTAAAGAAATTAATTTTGATTTTGATTTTTTTTTATATTGATTTCAAACCTCTCAGTTGCTTTTAAATGTAGTTAATTGTGAGTTAGGATTTGAGCTTTTTTTTTTCTTTGTTCTGTGCAAAGTTCTGCTCCAGTGTTTTTGTTCTGAAATTGCAGCAGGGGGCGTTCAGCCAGGGCATTATAACTTACTGATGTGGTGCAAAAAAAAAAAATGCATATATTTAATTTTAACACTTATAAAGGCCTGGATGGTTGTATTGGTGCCTGGAGTGGAACCACCATCCGTCTGGGTGACGGATCATAATCCCATCTCCTTGTTTTTCAACAGGACTATCTGTGTTTTCTTTTGGGCCTCCTTTCGTCCGCCCAGAGCACGGCAGCATCATGAGTGTGGAGTCCAAAAAACCACGTGATGGTTGCTGCTCAAAGCTCAAGGTTGGAACCCGTTTTTTTTTTTCCCAGTGTTTTAATGTTGGGAATTTTAGACATTGCTCAACAGATGAAGACGTGTGTTTTCTTACCTTATTTCTCCCAGTATTTCTCCGGACCTTACAGTACCTGCGGTGCATCTGCATATACTGACCCTATAAATCAGAGTTATTGGTTTGATTAGAATATTGGAAAAAAAAACCCCACCAGATCTTCCTTTATGAACCTCCATGTTGCCTAACCTTTACAGGAATAAGTGCTGGGTAAGTTAAGTTACGTTAGGCAGTTATCACAACAGAATCAATGAATAATCCGTGACCTCTGAGCTGGAGTGAATCCCTTTCAATTTTTATCTATCTTTGGACAAAGCAATGTCTGCACACGCTATTTGTACTGGCAATGCAAACAGATCACAACGGCCCAGTGACCTCCGACACAGGATATGAATGAATACACACACACATATATTTGTATATTTATATATACATACATATATGTATATATTGATATATATTTGTATATATATTTATATATATATTTATATATATTGATATATATATGTGTAGTGCATACTGTATATATATGTATATATAATAGTGATTTTTTTTACATATACACATATATTTATATTATATATTTATTTATTGTACATATTTATATATCTACATATATATGTGTGTGTGTATTTAAGTACATATATTTATATACTGATAGTGAACCTTTGTTTTTGTACAGACAGCACATGAACATATCTGCAGATATATGTCTATGTATATGTATATATTTATGTATATATTTATATATATTCATTTATATATTGAGTGAATGTTAGGCCATTGTTCTAGGTGAGGTGTTGAGCAAATGAGTACTTTCTCTCTGATGCGTACTCACTGACTCACAGGCGTTAGCTCAACATGTAAATGAATGTAATCCGATCAGTTTCAGTGGACGGTCGTTACGTCATGACGGTGTTGATCAAGTCTTCAACACTTTTATACCCACGGTTACGTCATGACGGTGTTGATCAAGTCGTCTTCAACACTTTTATACCCACTCTACAAAACTCCTCCTTTCTATTCTGGTCGTCTTCACGTCCACAAAGACACGGGGACGGCCGCTTTTGACATCGTCTTCATCTGCAACTGTCACACAATCACCGAGTGATTGAACTATTAGTTTAGACCTGTGGTTCTCAGCCCTTTTTAAGGGACGTAAACAATTGTATGAAAATACAGACATAAAAACAACTAAATTCAAAACCATTCAATTAAATAAATAAATAATGTATTAAATGCATTATCATTAAATCATTTTCACCTTCTGCTATGATTCAAAAATCAATAAAACACCTGTATGTAAATATATAGATTTCTCATGCATTTCTTCACAATTCAATTCTCAATACACCCACTAGGGGTACGGGAACCTCCATTTGGGAAGTACTACCAAAAACTAGCACACGTTATTCAAGTAGATGCAGGAAAATACGCTGATTCATCTTCAGAACATACAGTTGTTATTTTCTGTTTATATAATACCCAAAAATACAAATGTTCCAACGACGTGTCCGTGTTTTCCAGCTCTTCCTGGTTTCTCTGTCTTTCGTATATTTTGCAAAAGCCTTCGGTGGAGCCTACATGAAGAGCTCCATCACTCAGATCGAGAGGAGATTCGACATCCCCAGCTCCCTGATTGGAGTCATCGACGGCAGCTTCGAAATGGGTTCTTGTTCCGTCCCTGACCACGACACATAAAATCAGCCGATCCAGAGTTATTCACTCCGTCTGTGACTAAACCTTTTTTTTTTGTCATCTGTCACTGGCAGGAAACCTCTTGGTCGTGGCCTTTGTGAGCTACTTTGGCGCTAAGCTCCATCGTCCCAGGCTGATCGCTATTGGCTGTGTGATCATGGCGTTGGGATCTTACCTCGTGACTCTGCCTCACTTCCTGCAGGGGCTGTTAGTACAACGCTCACTTCATGTTTATCATTTGTCTCGTTTTCTATAGTCTAGTCACATGCCCTGGATGTTTCATGGTTCCCAAACCTTTTTTTGACCTTTGACCCAATTTTGACACCCCAAAATTCTTGTGACCCTAGAGACATTTTACTTTTCTAGATATCATTTAGAAATCATCATTTTAAAAAGAATAAAAAATTAGTTGAAATTAAATAAATAATCTATTAGATGTTTCATGCGACCCTATTTAGGGCCTCGACCCTAAGGTTGAAAACATTTTTCAAGTGAGTCTAAACTAGTGGTCACCAACGTGGTGTTTGGGGACCACTTGTTGCCTACATGGACCACCTGAGGCAGTGTTTCCCAAACTTTTTTCTGGGGACCCATATTTTGAAAAGTCACTAACCTTCGTGACCCAAGTCAATAGATTTTATTCGTAAACTACTGGGAAACATGAAGAAAAAATCTCTTGCAACCCAGTCTTTGGGAAACATTGACATTGGATTGTGTTCTAAAAGTAAAAACTTGTCAACAAGGCTAGACTTTTTGAATCAGTTAAACTGATAATGATGTTGAAGTGAATTTTTGTATTATAATTTTTTTTTTATCATGACATTATTCAGGAAGTGTGTATCAAACAAGTAAAAAAAGGATCTTCAAAAAGGTCGTTGACCTCTACTGTTATTGTCATCTATGTTTGTATGTTGTATTTTTCTACTGTTGACTCTATTGTTGTTCAGCAGATGTGAGGTCAATGAGGTCAACTCTCTGTGTTAGCAGCGACACATGTCGGTCTTGTCCTACATCCTGTCTGTTATGTCACCAGATACCTGCAGATATTACATGTGTAAAGTACCTTCCTGTAATCACAGTACACAGTACTACATCAGGAGAACTTCTCTTCTTCATTCATTCGTCAGGTACAAATATGAGACCAGTGTGACTCACAGCTCAGACATCAACAGCACTGACACCATCCTGCCCTGTCACTCCAACCACAGTACACAGGCAGCTCAGGATTTACTGCCCAAAGCAGGTAAAACTATCAAAATACACAAACAAGTACTATTTTAAAAAAACATTTCCAGATCTAATTTGGAGTTGAATTCTTCTCAGGATGTGAAAAGGCAGCCGGTTCGTCCATGTGGATTTATGTATTCTTGGGTAACATGCTGCGAGGAATCGGCGAGACTCCCATCGTGCCGTTGGGTGTCTCCTACCTGGACGATTTCTCCAGAGAAGAGAACACGCCCTTCTATTTGGGTTAGTGATTTTCTGGACGATCTGTGCTCCGGTATGATTTTCTATATTCTACATTTTATCCATCACCTCCTTTTCTTTCTTTCCTCAGCCTGTATCCATACGGTCGGGATTTTAGGACCCATGTTCGGATACCTACTGGGATCCTTCCTAGCTAAGATCTACGTGGACGTTGGGTTCGTAGACTTGGGTATGTGGAGGTCCAGAATGTGACGGTGATTTTTTTTGCCTCAGTGAAAAATTTTACAATATTTCAACTTCTGGCCCGGGGGTCACTGACAGCCCAGGAACCGATTACACTCGGTCCGCAAGAAGAGTCAACGACAAGGTTTAAAAAAAGATGGAGGGTTTAGTTTATTAAAATGTCTTATAATTTTTAATAACAAAAAACTACAGTTTTAGAAATGTCCAATGAGACTATCGTCCAACTTCCTGCTCACTTCTCCTCTTCACAGACACCATCGCCATCAACCATAAGGACTCCCGTTGGGTGGGGGCCTGGTGGCTCGGCTTCATAGCCACTGGAACCGTGATCTTTCTGGCCGGTATTCCGTTCTGGTTCCTGCCCAAGTCTCTGCCCAAACAGGGCCAAGAGGAGAGTCAGAGTAAGAGCACAGAAATTACCTCGGTGGCAGAGCAGGAGAACTTCCTCCCGGAGCAGAGCCAGGACCAGGAGGAGAAGGAGAAGCAGGTCTCATTTCGGGAGATGGCTAAAGGTACGGTGCAGCCGCAGTAAAAAAACTAATCATCCAATCAAAGTCAATCAATGAGTCAGAACATGTAGTTCAGTCTAAGTAAGACCAGGACCAGTGGTTTACAACCTTTTTTTGACCCCCTTTTGTGACCCCATTTTGACATCACAAATTTTTGGCAACCACGGAAACTTTTTTTTTTAGATCCCGTTTTTAGTTTTGATTTTCCCAGCGCCAACACAGATATATTTATATGCTGCATTTTATTTGAACTCGGTTTTTATTTGTAATAGTTAAAAAAAATCTGAGGTTTAAGATGTGTGTGGTGTTTTAGTTCAAAAAATATTTTTTTATCAGTCATTTGATTTTTATCAATTAATAGACCTTTCAGGTGACCTCATGTGGGGTCACGACCCCCGTGTTGGAAAACACTGGCCTAGACCCACATATTTATCACCCTGGTTATTGAACATAAAACAGTAGCTACAGATAAAATAGATAATTATTATTTAAATATTTATGATTCTCCTTATAATTATCTGAATGGCCTTTTTATGTTTTGTTTTGTTTTTTTGCAGATGATGTAATGCAATTCATCAACCAATTATAACTGAATGCATCATTATGTTAAACATAAAAAACAAAGTCATTATTTTTGGCCTCTCTTCTCTCTTTCTTGCCCCAGACTTCGTCCCGTCTCTGAGAAGACTCTTCCGGAACAGCATCTACACACTGATGATCATCACCCACCTGGTGGCAGTAAATGGCTTCATCGGCCTGATCACCTTCAAGCCCAAGTTCCTGGAGCAGATCTACGGCCAATCAGCCTCCAGGGCTACTTTCATCATCGGTAACGGCCCCATTCACTCTGCTCTCCCTGTACTTTGGGGCAAGAAGGCGCTGAAACAATGATGTTGTTGAAGGGAAGTGTGATTGTGGGAGATAAAGTTGACCTGGAATGTGAGCTCCACGCAGCCATCTGTGGACTTTGTGTTGGAGTGTCCCAGTAAAAGTTTCAGCCTTCAGAGTTGAATAAGCTCTTTATGGCTGTTTACCAGCTCGTCTCAGACGGGGGTTTAGTTTGTCAAGGTGAGTGGTCTCTGGAGGTAACCCCGATGACCGGAGACAAGTACAAGGACTTTAAAAAAACCACATAGATTAACGAACAAAGACAATAAATTCATGACGATGAATGTTCAAATATTTAGTTGCAATAATTTAAGTTCTAAAACACCACTTGAGATGTAGATGAAAAAGTATTTTTTTAAAGGTATTGAAAACATTTTCAGCACAGCATGTAGTTACCTTACCCCTCCTGTAGGGGGAACCAGACACATCCACACTCACACCTGTGACCCATTTATAGCTAGAAGCAGAAAGACCATCAGTTACCACTGGGAGCAAGTTGACGATCATCTGTTTTTAGGCAGTGGTTCCCAAAGTGGGGGGCGGGTACCTCTAGGGGACACAGAGCACGCAGTCCTTTTTTTGGTTTAATGAATATAGTAGTCTAGTAGAAATGACTGAGTTTTAAGGTCAGTGGAGGTTCAGTGAGGCAACCACCGCTGTGAGGCAGGGGCTCCTACCACTTTACCACTGTGTGGCCCTACTGTGGCGTTAGGCTCCCTCAGAAAAAGAGAAAATCTAAGCACAGGGCAGCGTCCTGTAAGTGAAAACACCACCACAGTATTGCAGTAAACCTAAGAAACTATGTAGAGTAATTGATTATTAATTTAAGATATTCTAGCAAATTCTACTTTTAAGTTACAACAACTTTTGAACGACTCTCGAACACCAGCCGTTTTCCCACCACTGCATCGTCTTATATCTTCATCAGTTGCTTATACAATACCAATGTTTGTCCTGTGTGGATGGGTGGGTCCTACAGGAATCCTCAACCTACCGGCTGTGGCTCTGGGCATCATCACAGGAGGTTACATACTGAAGCGGTTCAAGCTCGGCATCATCGGAGCAGCCAGGGTGGCCATCTGTACCGCCTTGGTCTCCTTTTGTCTGCTGGCCATGCAGATCTTCATGCACTGTGACAACACAGAAGTGGCTGGTCTCACCGTTTCATATCAGGGGTGAGTGGCATGTTGGCAGCCGACGCTGTCATGGTCTGGAAAGATTCTTTTTTAAGGGACATAGTCCTGAGATGGTATTATTGTAGACCGAACTTGGCACAGATTGTACCATCAGTGGACCCCAACCTCTCTTTGCGACACAGATCAGATTTACGCAAAATATTTTTTTCCATGAACCAGTGACAAGAGTTTGTGTATGAGAAGTTACGGGAAGAACAAAAAAAGAACATACTGTACATGCATACATATATATAAACTGTATATATGTTTGTGCATATGTATGTTTATATATGTATATGTATTTGTGTATATATATTTATGCATATATGTTTATATATGTATATATATTTGTGTATATATATCCACATACATATATATGTATGTGCATGTATATGTTTATATATGTATGTATATTTGTGCATATATATGTTTATATACGTATATATATTTGTCTATATATATATACATATACATGTATGTGCATATATGTTTTTTTTTCTTGTTTACTTACTAGCGACTATAGGTCTATATGTAAAAGTATTAAAGAAAACCAAAAAACTAATTTCAACCCTGTCTGTTTATGTCTGCTCCAGAGTTTCTCATGTGTCCTACAACCAACAGACTTTGGTGTCCCAGTGCAACGTGGGCTGCACCTGCTCACTGAACCACTGGGACCCGGTGTGTGCCGATGATGGGATGACTTATGTTTCCCCCTGTCTGGCCGGCTGCCAGACCTCCACCGGCGCTGGCAAAGACATGGTGAGGCAACCGCCCCTTATATTTGTATTAAATTGTGGCGTTGCGGACCTGGACAGGTCTCAGCTGAACTTGTTCAGTTTTTTAACATTATGTAAAAATATTTAGGAAAAGAATGATCAGATACCTCCATGGACCTATTAGGGGCCACGCACCCTATGTTGAAGACCTCTAATCTGAAGAATATAAATATTAAAAATTAAAAAATTAAAAATAGATTTAGACAAACCGTCTAACTAAAGTAAAGTATGTTTTAAAAACAAAGGTTTTTAATTTTTTTTCTCTGCAGATGTTCCATAACTGCACCTGTGCAGGACAGATGACTCCGGGCTTGAACACCTCCGTAGCTCTGGGCCAGTGCAGTAGGAGGAGTAGCTGTGACAGGCTGTTTAAAATCTACATGGCCATGTCTGTGTTCGGTGCCTTTATATCCGGATGTGGCGGAACACCGGGATACATCGTACTGCTGCGGTCAGAAATACTCTTTCGATATATGTACTGTACTACAGCTATCATAGCTACTACTTTAATGTTTATATTTCTGTGTTTTTTTTCCCTAATTTGATCCCCATTCCAGGTCTATACAGGTGGACCTGAAGTCTCTAGCCTTGGGAATGCAGACACTGATCGTGAGAACCTTAGGTGAGTGTGAGAACCGGAGTGACTGATCCAGTGTTTCTCTGGTCTGTGTCCTGAGGAGTGGGTTCTCCGTGTCTCCTCAGGTGGAATCCCTCCTCCCATTTACTTTGGAGCACTCATTGACCGAACCTGTTTGAAGTGGGGGACGAAGCAGTGCGGAGGTCGAGGAGCGTGTCGGCTCTACGACGCCAACACCTTCAGGTAGTGAAGTGACTCATGGTCCTGTGTTTGGTCGCTGGTCTGGTCGAATTGAAGTGTTTTTAAACAGTTTTCCAGTTCTCTGAAACTTACAACATAACTCAAATATATCATACTTAGCAAAATATATTTAGTGCAATATATCTTTGTTGTTATTTGACTGGTCTAAATATATCAGGCGGGGGTGGTCTTTTAGTGAGACCTCACTTGCTGAGGGTCAAAATATGGTCCTAGAGTGTGAGATACCAGTGAGATACCAGTTTGGTACAAGTGCGATACTAGTATAATACCAGTGAGATACCAGTGTAATACCAGTGAGATACCAGTGTAATACCAATGAGAACCAATGGGTCAAAATATGGTCCTAGAGTGTGAGATACCAGTGAGATACTAGTTTGGTACAAGTGCAATACTAGTATAATACCAGTGAGATACTATTGTCAACTATCTAATATATTTCAGTCATAAATCTAAATCCTTCCCCTCTTCCAGAGTGACATACTTGGGGCTGATTAATGGATGCTACTTCCTGTCCAATATCCTGTGGGGCGTCCTCTATTTCTTTATTGTCAAGCGACAAAAGAAGTTGTCCCTGAAGAAGCAGGACAAAGAGAGTGGACCTGAGGGCAACGGTGCGGCCAATGGACACGCCCGCATCAGCATCATTAAGGACACGGAGGACACGGACAGAGAGAGCACCATCTAGGGTGGCTCAGCAGAACAACATGACTGTGAAGATAAATAAATACTTAAAGAGCCGGTGGTGATGACACTGCACCCAGACTGGAGCCAACGCAGCAGCAGCGGTACAGTGTCCACACTTAAAGTGACTTTTAGATATATAAATAAATGGACTCTATACTGTAGTCCAGTCCAGTGGTTCTCAAACTTCGAGTACCACCACTGTGCACCCAACAGTGAACAGGCCACAAGGGGGAGCCCGTGTACCATGAGTGGTGTGCGTACCACCGTTTGAGAACCACTGCTGTGGTCCCTACAGTATACAGCCACACTGATGTAAGTACAGAACAGTGTGTTGTTTCATATGCTATTTTTTTTGTATTTGTTACTGACAGTGATTTTGTCATGGTTTTTCATCGTGTGCAGGTTCTACTACAGATGAACTGTATTATAAAATATTCACTGAGGTCGAGTGGGTAAACATAAGCGATATAGTGAACAAGAAAATTAAAAAACAAATCATCACCGAGACCGTAGACCAGGGTTTACCAAACCCAAGTCAACAGACATTATTCGTTAAAGCGAGACAACCCCCCCAAAAAATCTCTTGTGACCCACTTGAGGGTTGCGACCCAGTCTTTGGGAAACAATGCAAAGCAGAGAGACTTTAACCACTGGTCAGGTTTTGTTACATTCAGTTGAAGGGTTAAAAATAGACACAAGAACTCCTAACAACTCTGTCTGTCCACAGGGCTAACTTCTCACCGTGTTTTTGCACATGCTAACCGTTAGAAAACCTGTTGTGGATTTTAATCATTCTTCAATCATCATAAAAAAATTCTTCATCTTCAGTTTCCTAGTCGACAGTAGAACTGTTTCATCCAGGTTCTTCCAGAAGGTATTCAGTTCTATTAGCCACGTGCTAGGTCTCAGATCACTTCAAGAGTGTGTACTTTAGGATGTGTTTTCTTGCAAAACCAAAATATTAAAGTATTTTTCTTTGAGCTTTAGGCTCACGTGCAGCTTGTACTACTAGTACTACAGTACAACAGTCTACCATTATCAGCACTGTACCTACAGTGGGGGCAGAGTGGGGCCTGACTTATGACACACTGGTTGTTACATCACATCACTCATATCACATGAGCAGTGAAGGTGGGGATCGTGGACCCCGTCCAGCCTCTGGTTTGTTTGGAACGGTTTCTCATGAACCCTGTCTCTCACCGTAGTGGTTTCAACCGTGGGGGAAATTATTCAAATACTGGGATGAAGTTGATTAGAACAGAAAAATATATATTTTAGAGGTAAATGTTTTAAAAATGTCAATATATTGGACTTTTTTTTGTACATTGTTAATTGTAAAAAAAGAAAAAAATCAGGAAAACATTAAAGACATTTTTCACAAAACTAACTTGATGTTTTTATTTACTATTTTACTATTATTTACTTTTTGAAAGGCAATGATAACCATCTATATATAGATGGTTATATTTGTCACTCAAATATATATGTTAATATATACAGTATTTGTTATTATGTGTTTGTGTGTATAAATATACTTATACATATATATGTATATGGGTCCATATATGCAAATATATACAATATACTGTATAAGCTGTGAAGTAGGCTTCTTTGTACTACAGCACACCCTGCAGGCCAATATGGAAATAATGGTTTATAATATATTTGTAATAGTAATGTTCAAGTTCAAGTTCAAGTCGCAAAAAAAAAAAAGTCACAAATATGTTTCGGGAAAAAAAAAAATCCAACGAGCCACAGAGTACAGTAATACAGTTCTACACACGAAAATAAAAAATCACAAATATGTTTCGGGAAAAAAAAAAAAGTACAGTAATACAGTTCTACACACAAAAATAAAAAAGAATCTTATGCCGACCTGATGACTACAGTTGGAGTATAGTGTACGTACACAGAATACACAGAATGTACTGTGTGTGTGGAGTTGTGGGAGAATACATGGGAAAAACAGGCTCCACTGTTCCTGTTCAGGAATGTACGACTTAGTCCTAATCTTTGGGATCTGTGGGGGGCCGGTGGTGACTGTGTCACCTGCCTGGTCTGTGAGGGTCCAACTTTAATGTTTATATGATCTTACAGCCAAATGAAATGATCAAAATGAAATCATTTAAATCCAGGTTTAACACCGGACGTTTTCAGAGGGACACGATAAAAATCCAAAATAGAAAAAAAAAATCCAACTGTGTCTCATGTTTGACCACGTGACAGTAAAATTGAAAAAAAAAAAAATCCTAGAGCAGAGTTTGGAGTTATAAATCTGTCTCAGGCCCTCAGACCTGGCCCCCAGTCTCCTGTTGCTGCCCCCCCTCCTGGCTGGCATGTGTGTGGAATAGAAATGTGTGAGGCCTTTTGTCCAGCTTGTTCCAGGGAACTGTTCTCTGCTCTTAGACGAGGGAGAAAGGGAGAGAGTCGAAACCAGAGTCCAGTCCCTGGAGTCTGGACGTACACAGTCATCAGGGTTTTTTTTTTTCTTCACTGGTTGTTTTCGTTGTTTTGTATCGTCTCTGTGATGAGTGACTCCAGATCTGAGTCGACTCAGTAACCAGAGCAAATGTGAGGTGAGGATTTCTGGACTTATCGTTAAAGGAGGAAACTTCAGGGTCAGAATGAAGTCAGCGCTGGTGACTGGACACTGCTGAGGACAAACGCTGGTGGAGTCCACGCAGGTACGGTGTGGTTTTAAAGTTTCTCCACAAACGTGTGACTCTGAAAATTCAACCTTTTCTATCAATGAAACTGCTTTTATTTACAGTTGACATCAATATTTTTGTACTATTTTCAAAATTTAAAAATGTCTAATAAAGAGTTGAAACACAAATACATGGTTGTATTTCACAGTTAGCGTTATTGGAAAGTTAGCAATAATATATAAATTGGTAAAAAAAAACGTATTTTAGAGTAAGTGCATTTTATTACATATTCCATTTTTTGGATTTTTTATCATTTAATATGTGATTCAGAGCTGGAGTTATTGTGTTAATTATGTTTTATTTTCATCAGGAAAATAATTTTGTCATGGAGGCGGCCATATTGGATTGTTGTGTTTTCAGACCGGCCCAGAGTAGTCAAACAAACAAAAAGTCAACTCAAACCTCCATATTGTTAGTTAAATGTTTTGTCAATTATTTAGATAACTGCTGATTAGCTTGGCCTTTTATTAGTCATCACTTTTACTATCTTTCTTTTCTTTTTTCTTTTACAGACACAAACACAGCAGAATGGAAGAAGCACCAGTGGACAGACACAAGATGGACGGTCACCAGACCGCGGGCGTCTCTGACCAGATGACCCCCAAACGCCCCTGCGTCTCCACACTCAAAGTACTTGAACTGTCTGTGGCTCAACACTTCACCGCTGGTTGATTAAATCTGTTCATGTACAGAGTGAAGTTCACGTCTGATTTCCCACAACGTTGAACATCAAAACGCATCAAAAAGTTCTCTTTAAAGAACGTCATATCAACAGAAGATGATGTGTTCACGTCAGATCATCACAGTTTGTAAAAACAATCCCAGCGACATTCACGATCTCAGGGCTGGAGTGATTGCAGCAGCACTCGGGTCTTCGTCATTGTCATCATTGTCATCATAAGCAGCAGGAAGTGAATGTGATTTTTCCCCCCCTGTCAAAAACAGAGCAGGAGACTGAGCTAACCTGAGAAAAGCCGACGTCGTATTTTAAGTTTTCTGGGGCTATTGCGCCCAATTACTTGACTTAAAGGCACAGAAGTTAACCGTTACACATTTGAAACAGAAGGAAGATCAAACCAGAAGCAGCAGAGTGACAAACAATGGCTAGGAAACAATAAAACCGAGACAAAACACAACACAATGACAAAAAGGGAAACTATAAATAAAACAAAAAATCAAACAAAAAACGTGAAAATCTAAAGTCCACATTTAGCGGGGTTTGAATTAAGATTCCTTGTAAATAACTGCCATTTTTCTCCAAAAACGGTAAAAGTTAAAAATATAATGACCTCCGATTTTATATTTTTTCTTATATCATATATATAATATAAAATATCACATTTCCTCTCATTTCCAGATGTTTATCCTGGCTCTTTCGTTTGCCTCCTTTTCCAAAGCCCTGGCCGGGACCTACATGAAGACCTCCATCACACAGATCGAGCGACGGTTCGAGCTCTCCAGCACACACATCGGACTCATCGACAGCAGTTTTGAAATGGGTACCACAACTTTTAACTCGGGAATGTTTTTTTTTTAATTATGATTTTCCACAACGGTCAAATTAATCTTTTTTCTGTTGTTTTTATTTATTTATTTTTTTGGTTGACTTCATCGGAGTTAGGCAACCTGCTATTCCTGGCGGTGGTCAGCCATTTTGGGGCCAAACTGCATCGACCCAGACTTATTTCGGCGGGTTGTTTCCTCATGGCAGTTGGATCTTTCCTCACGGGCCTGACACACTTCTTCATGGGGAGGTTCATATAAACAAAAGCTAATTTTATTAAAACGGTAGTTTTAAAAAAACAACAAAAAACTAGTGTCATCAATCTTCTTGACAGATATACATACAGCACCGTCGTCCAGGTCTTTCAGAATGACAGCGCGAACATCGCTGCCTGTGCTGATCCTCTGAACGTAGAGGCTGGAATTCCGATGGAACTTCCTTTGGAAGGAAATAAAGGTAATCTTGTGATTTATTCTATATAAATATATTTTTTAATCTAGTTGTCTTTTTCTTTGTTTTTAAATCACAATCAAGAAGTAATGTGATCTTCCTTCGTTGTTTGCTACCACCTGCTGGCCTACAGTATATACCAGCGTGACCAATGTGCCAGAAAGTGGATAACTAAAAAGTCTGTTTTTCTCTCTAATTTACATTAACAATATTCCCATTATATAATAAAAAAGTGAAAATAAAAAATTAGATAAAAAGTAAAAAAACGGTTTAAATGTCGTTGTATTTATATATACAACAGAATCTGTCCTCTGAATTCATCCCATTTGTACAACCTCCAATCACAAGCCCCATATCTTTTACCACCAAGCCACAGTGTAAAGTTATTTGGTCCAAAGTCTAAATTTACATAATCGCAAAAAAAATTACAGTCTCTTCTGAAATAAAAAGTATGTTATTGTTACTTCTCATAGTCAACCATTCACACCAAAATTCACACCTGTGGTCCATTTTACTCACCAGTTTACACTGGTCTCAGCTGCACATAACTGGATGAAGCCAAATGGAGAGACTGTACGTAAACATAACACCGGGTTAAATCCGAAGTCAGCAGATTTTTCAGCCGTCTCAGGAATGCGTTGATCCCACTCTAATCCTAAAAGCCACCGACGTCCCGTGAATTCACTGCTGGAAGACGAAAGTCTTTAAAAGTATCAACACTAAAGATAAGTCCCGATCGTGACACAATCTCAACACAGGCTCAGAATATATTAAAAAAAAAAACAACATCTCATCACTGCTTTCATCAGCGAAGATCACAGTTCAGAAGCCCACACCATCAGTGATCAGTCTATATACAGAGTGAAGAGCAGAAAATAATACAGCGCAGCATCAGAGAAACATCAGACGGTTATATATATGCTAATAACCTCACTGTTGATTTTCCCCTTCTTTTATTTTTCCCACTATTTTTGAGGAGCAGCCAAACCCGCTCTGCAGAAATGTGTTGGCGTTAAAATGGAGCTCTTGTTCGCCCCCTTTTTTTGAGCTGTAATTAAGTTTTATTCGCACAAAAAAACATGTCGCGAACCCTGAGAATGCATCGTACAGATGGTCCTACATTTAAATACGATGTTTTTTATTATTATTATTTTTCTGGGAGCACAAAAGGTCGGAGCAGAACCAAAATCAGAATCCTTTCAAATAAAGATTCTCAGCAAAAATCATAGTGTATTCAGTCGTGTGGTTTAAGGCAGACGTCGTTGTTTTTATCTTTGTGCTAACACAGAGTTGTTGTTGTTTTTGTTAGGTTTCTTTTTCTGACCTTTGGAAAATGCAGCAAAGTTCTCATTTGGATAGGTTTTCTGTAAAAAAAAAGGAAAAGCTACAGCACAGACGTAGATATTATTAATAATAATGATAATATTAATAACACTTTTTAAAATTTTTATTATGATATAATTTCCTTTATTTTATTATTATTGTTGTTTGTATTATTATCAAAAAGAAAGAAAATAAGTTATTTTTAACTAAATTAGCGTTACGTTGTCCCATATTTTTATTCATTAATGTGTTGTCCATCCTGGCAGATCTTTTTAAAATTTGTGGGAGGAGGAGGAGGGCGTTACTAAGTTACTAAGTTCTTGTCTGTGTCGATAAACAGCCTGTGTGAGAGAACCTGGAACCCACATGTGGATCTACGTGTTCCTGGGGAACGCTCTGAGGGGAATCGGAGAAACTCCCGTCACTCCTCTGGGCATCTCTTACATTGACGACTTCTCCAAACCTGAAAACTCTCCCTTCTACATCGGTAAGACGTTGCGTTCAGGTGCTGTTTGTACCTCTGGACACTAGGTCGTGCTGTTTTTTTTCTATTCACCTGTCGGATGTGTTGTGTCTTTGGATCGGCAGCCTGTCTGCAGACCATTTCCTTTCTCGGCCCCATGTTTGGTTTCCTCCTGGGTTCTTACTGCGCCAGACTCTACGTGGACATTGGATTTGTTGATCTGGGTAGGTCTGAATCACCGTTTTCATATCGGATATTGCCAAAAAGTGAATATCGGACATCCCTAATGATGATGAATCGACATGATACTTATTTCAAAGTAAAGTGTCCTACCATCTGACAAATATAATTGGTGACCCCTGGTCTATGAGACGATGACTGGCAGAACAAAAAACCTATAATTGGTGACCCCTGGTCTATGAGACTGGCAGAACAAAAAACCGTCCACTAGGTGGCAGCAGACACCATTCCAAGGTCTCAGTTTATTGCACAAATTCAGATTGATCAGCAGCTTACATGATGTTTGGGAAAATTTTCATACCCATAAAAAAATAATGTCTTGATATAACTCAAGAGCCTTATGTTGAACTAAAACTCTCTCTTTTCCTTCAGAAAGCGTGACCATCACCCCTAAAGATTCCCGCTGGGTTGGTGCCTGGTGGATGGGCTTCATGGTGTCCTCTGCTCTCCTGCTCATGTCCAGCATTCCCTTCTGTTTCCTGCCTCGCTCTCTGCCGGTGAACGAGGAACTCCGAGACAAGTCGTGTCCAAAACAGACGACGGGAAATGGGACAAACGGTGGAATGGACGACAATCACAACCTCAAGTTAGGAGACATCGCAAAAGGTACATAATTTTGGATTTTTTTTTTTTTTTTTTTTGAGTCCTTGTCCAGAGCTGATGTTGACGGTGTGTGTTGTTGGGCAGGGTTCCTTCCGTCACTGAGGCGACTCTTGGGAACTCCTGTTTACTTCCTGCTTCTCTGTGGAAGCATCCTGAAGTTCAACTCTTTAATCGGACTGTTTACCTTTAAAGCCAAATACATGGAGCAGCAGTTTGGACAGTCGGCGTCCAGAGCCAATTTCCTCATAGGTAAAATGACGTAGCAGGTCTGTTCATTACTGCATGAATTCACCATGACTTATATATATGACTTTATGAGACTTTAGCCTGGGCTTTACAACTGGATGGTGATGTCTGTTTTGTGGGGGAGCAACAGCTGAAAAAAAATAAAAAAAATTACAAGATAAACCGAAATCTTCAAAGAAAATTTGCCACATTTGATGTCTGTCGCCATCTAGTGGCATTAACTGAAATTACAAGCAATTCATTACTACGTATCAAACTGAAATGATTAAATCAGCCTTTACCAGATCTCCACCAGTGTATAGCAGGATTTACCAGATCTCCACCAGTGTATAGCAGGCCGGATCAGAAAGCCTAGTGTGCTGTGTCTGGCCCACGGGCCATAGTTTGCCTATATCTGTACTAGAAAGCTGTGGTATTTTGTTGTTGTTTTTTTTTCTAGGTGTGTTGAACCTCCCAGTGGTGGCGCTGGGGATCTTCCTGGGCGGGCTGCTGATGAAGCGCTACAAGCTGAGCGTGGTGTCAGGAGTTCAGCTCTCCTTCGCCACGTCCTTCGCCGCGTACCTCCTCCTGCTGCTGCAGTTTGGCACCAAGTGTGACAACATTCCCGTGGCTGGGCTCACCGTCTCATACAACGGGTTGGTGCTGAGAAAAGACGTAGTCTGAGTCTGAATTTGAAATGACCTCATGTTTACGCGACCGTTTGGCCCTGCAGGACGGAGGGATTGTCGTACCACAGTGAAATGCTCTTCTCAGAGTGTAACACGCACTGTTCGTGTTCGGCTGAGGAGTGGGATCCAGTCTGCTCCGACAGCGGCATCACCTTCATCTCCCCGTGTATGGCTGGCTGCCTCAGCTCCAGTGGATACGGAAAAAACACAGTAGGGAACAGCACAAGAATTCAGCAAAATACACTGTCAACCTACTGTTAGACCAGGGTTTCCCAACCACTGTCCTGCGGCACATTAGTGTGCCGTGAGGAGAATCACCTTTACCGTGGAAAAGTGACAAATGTCACTTAATCTGTCAGAAAACAAAATAGTTATTTACAATTTTTTTTAAATTTTACCAAGGAAATGCTTTTGTACATTCCCATTAAAAAAACCACTCCAAACTGCCATCAATTTTTTTTTTAATCTTCTGCACCTCCTAGTGGCAGCTTATGCATGCACCACACTTTTGGAATCCCTGCTATAAAAAAAAACAAAAATGAGAGAGAGACTCAGAGCTGTTGAATGAGATTTTTTTTCAGTCTTTCTTCAATTTCTGCCTGTGTATCAGTGTTGTGTTTAACTAAACAGGCCCAGGATTCACACTAAATAAAGAGTAAATAAATTGAGAGTGAATTAAAGCTAAAAGATCACTATATTTTGTTATATATTCTTTTTGTGACATTTTTGTTTGTTTGTTTTGTTTTGTTTCACGTACATTTTCCGACAGGGTGTTTGCGTATCTGTCTCTTTTCAACAGGTCTTCCACAACTGCAGCTGCGTGTCTGTGTCCTACCCAGCAGGGAGCAGCACTTCAGTGAAGTTGGGCCAGTGTCCACACACCAAGAACTGTGGCCGCAGTTTCACCTCCTACATGGCCGTGTCTGTCCTCAGCTCCTTCATCAACTCACTGGGAATCACTCCTGGCTTCATGGTCATCATACGGTCTGTGGTGGCATTTTGGAGAAGAAGAAAAAAAAAACACACTCCAATGATTGTGATTAGACTGACACTGTGGACATTTTTGGAATTGCAGATGCATTGCCCCGGAGCTCAAATCGCTGGCGCTAGGGATTCAGACCTTGGTCACGAGAACTCTGGGTGAGTCCTTTTTGGTTGATTTATAGATTAGGGGGCCCCAGCTCCTGGTTCGGGGAGCGGTGACAGTCTGTAGGGCATTTGGTGTACTTCAGTTTACTTCGTTTCAAAAGAATCCAATCTGTTAATGTTTCAAACCAACAGGTCAAAGGTCATTCAGACTCTGATACTAACAGAATAAAGTCTAAAATATGTTTTATTTTGAAAATTTAAAATCATTGATCCTTCAATGAAGGCACAGTATCACTCGTCCGCAGTAACGGCCGATACCGGCCGACTGGTCCATGGTGCTACAGTAAAGGACCCCTAAAAGGTTGGGCACCGCTGCTATAGACCACTTAAAGACATGGACGTAGCCATCCTGTTCCAAAAGGTTAAATATATAAATATTTGTATCTGTAAAGTTTAAGTTGATTTTCATCTAAACTGCACTTTGACTCTGAGACTCTGTCCACAGCGGGGATTCCTGCCCCGGTGTATTTCGGGGCTCTGATCGACTCGACGTGTCTGAAGTGGTCCTTTAAGAAGTGTGGGGTCAGGGGGGCGTGTCGTATGTACGACTCGGACATGTACAGGTGCGTCACAGTCGTGGCTTCCTGTCCTCCAGGTGTGTTATCCTTCACCTCCTGACACCGTTGTTGTTCCCATTCTCAGGCTCATCTTCCTGGGTCTGATCACGTGCCTCAGTGGTTCTTCGTACGTCTTCATCATCGCCATCATTGTCCTGTTAAAGAGACAGTCTCGCAAACCGCAGCAGGTGAACGCGCCGCCATCAAAAACTGCGGTCGTCGAAGTTGAACTCAAGACCGCAGCCGTCGACGGCCAAAGCCAGCTCAGTGTTGGCAGAACTCCCAGGATGCATCACGGCCCAAGTATATGGACGACGATGGTAAAAGACACAGACGGCGCACTGGAGGAGCAACGGTGTGGACGGCTGACTACAGTCCAGCTGTGTCCTCCTCCTCGAGGAGGAGGGTTGGACATGGACAGGCTGAACAGAGAGGAAGAAGAAGAGAAAAAGGAGGAAGACCGGATTTCTAACAAGACTAATGCACAGTCGGGAAGAGATGAAGACGACGTGAACCAGACGGTAAAGAAAACTGAACAGCACAAAGACAGAGAGAACAGAGAAAACTAAAGACTTCAAGAAAGCCAAAAGGGAATACTGATGACATCACTGGCTGCAGGACACATTTATTTTTTAATGGCGGTTCTGTCGGACCTTTCTGAACGTCACAGTGTCCTTTTTCTGAACTTGGACCAGTAATTTAGACAAAAACATCTTCATCACATAGAACAAAAAAATAAAGAAATGGAACAGAAGTAAAGAAGAATAATCCTGCCTCGAAGGAAATGTCAATATTTTCAACAGGTGTTGACGCTCCCTTACACCAGACCTGGTTAATAAGACACAACAACGTGTCAGAAAAAATTGCTGTTAAACTTAAAACACCTTTAATGTTTCAGAGCGATGGTTCTCAAACTTTGGTACGTGTTATTGGTTGTACATAATGTCTATATACACTTTCAATGAAGGTGCAGTAGTCCATATATTTTGGCCACTTGAGGGCAGCATAATGTATTGCAAGCATCGCCGCTGTTGAGATGCCACTGCCTGTTTTTTTTTTTTTTTTGTGGGAGTCGTTAGAATTGATCGATGTGTCGATAAAATCACTTTAAATTGATCAAAATATAGAAAATGAAAAAACAAGTTCAAGCTTTGGTTAATAAATATTTGATTAATTAAATTGTGTTTTTGCGACAATGACTGGTGAGGTGTAAAGTTTAATCTATAGATAATTTTTTAAAAACTATATAAATGACGTGACTGTTTATACTTTCTTCTCTTTGAATCATTGAATTGAATGATCTTTCCTCACGGTGGCGGCTGTGGTTCGCGTTTGTATTGAACTTCTGCAGCTGTGTGAACGTGTGCGCGCTCAGTCATTAGAGACCGTTACCCAATGACTACTTATCAATTAATCATTGCCTGATGACACTTGACCCCTGACCTGTTCACTGCTCAGGGAATGGTAATGAAGCAGCTGTAGTGGTCCTTTAAACAGAGACGAATGTGAGGAAAGAGCTCAGAAGAAACAAAGAAAAAATCTCTGAAGTAAAGTTCCCTTCAAGGAATGTTTTTTATTTTTGAAATCTAGTTGGAAAAATTAGGATTTGATCGTTTATTCTGTCGTCATTTACAGTTGATGAGAGGATGAATTCAGGAGAATATGGCAGTGGCGTCGCTGCTGCTGCTGCTGCTGCTGATGTGTCGTCATTAGAAAATTACAGGAAATAAAGGGAGGTGTTTATTGGACCTCGGTGGGTTTAGGGTCTCACTTGTCCATTAGGACTGCGCTGCGTCTCTGCGGTGAAAACCACCTGCACTCGTCGCCGTCGTCGTCATCTAATGCCTTTGGTGGCGTTTCCACAGTGAGATGAGATTAAACGATCGCAGCGTTAGCGATCGGACAAATTAGAGACACAGCGTTCTAGATTTGTTTTTGGTTTTTTGTTATAATAATATGTCACAAAACGGGAGAGTATTTGAAGCGGATATTTGAACAAATAAAATCCGATGGTCTGCTAGAGGTCCCCACTCCAGTGGTTGTGGACCTGCGAGGTAAAAGACCATGAGCAGAGCTAAGGTGTGACTGTGATGTTTGATATGAACCTAGTTTATATGGATGAGCCACAGTCACGTGTGACTGTGATGTTTGATATGAACCTGGTTTATATTGAAAAAGTTCTGAGACAGATGTCACATCAAATATTTTTTATAACATTTCATTTTCACATTGTAGTGTGGCCTCCAGGACTCAAGGTGTCATTGTTTTGGGATTTTTTTTTAAATGCAGTTATTTGAGAAGTAGTAGTTTACAATACTTCCCCGTTGAAGTAAGAAAGGGTTTAATTCTGGTTGTTTGACGTTTTTAATGAAAAATCTGAACAGAAATTCTGTCTTAGAACTTTTTGACTTACTTTTCTATATCATTTAAAACATTTTCTCAGGAACTTTTTACCCATGCACTCTGGCCGTTCACATGCCGGCCGCACGCCTGTTACGTGTGGCCCTCATGTTGGACCTCCTCTTCATTACCTGCTTGGTCTTTGTTTATGACGTGTCCCATCAAAAATAATGAGACGCCATTCATTATTGATGACCGTTCATCCTTAAATCAATTATTCATCGTCATTAAAGCCCAGGGGGCGCTGCTGAGGCCAGAGACGGCTGACCTGAAACTTTCTCACCTGTCTCCAGGTATTAAAAAAAAACCGACGACGACAGCGTCCTTCTCCCTGGTGTGGGCTTCGTGGCAGGTCAGCGATGACGAAGACGATGCTGAGGACGGTGACGTACAAATGTGTGTGTGTCGTGTCAAAGTTTCTGTATTTTTTTTGTGCGTGGTCGGGTTAAAGCTGAGGGTCTGTGTTTACATACAGCATATAAGACCCCTACTGGCTGTTTTTTTTTTTTTAACGCCCCCACCCGTTGCACTCTGTGTGAATGAAAATTCACAGCTATATTTGGAGAGAGCTGATGTCACAAGTGCTTTGAGCCGGGAGCCTATAACTGTTGCAGTGGTTGGTGTGACAGGCTGACAGAGGCTGACAGAGGCTGACAGAGGCTGGACGACTGCTCCCCTGACGGACTGGGATCTGCCGGCTGCAGGAGAACAACACAGAAGTGAGTCAAGCTTTTTATTCAAAGTCTTTATTAATGTCTCACTTCATTAGACTTGATGATTAGTTTTTTTATAATATTTATATTGATTGCAATAATTCACGTAATGTTTTTTTAAAAAATTTACCCCATGTAATAACATCCGTGGTGTTGGTTAAACTGTAAATGATTGTGTCTGTTGTTCCAGTTTGATTTTCTCTCATTCTACAGACGCTGTTGTCTGTTGTTTTCATTTAATTTCATTAATTAAAATTTCAAAGAGAAGCAGAAAAATAATAACTATAGAATACATGTTTTGAGTTTAGTTGAACTGTTCACCACAACCAGGGAAAACAAAATTATTATTTCAAAAATCAAGTCAAGTCGAGTCAATAGTTTTTTGTTTTTACTATTGTCACTAACGATGAATTTAAAACAATGATTAGATTAAATTAGATTATTTTGTCTCTGTGACTGCCATACACTCTATGATGATTCTATTTTCATTTTAATAAATATATTATTTTTTAAATTATTTTTAATTGATCTTATGTCATTTTATTTATTGTTATTATTATAAAGTGATATTATGGAAAGAGAACATTACCTGTGCTGTTTTTTTTTATATATATATTCAGTTATTATTGATGATCAACTCCCTCCGTGTTCCTTGTGTTCTCTGTGTTCTCTGTGTTGGTTCAGTTCTCCGTTCTACACCATGTTCAACACGAAGGTTCCGGCGCTTCTGCTCCTGCTGCTTGTGCTGCTGCACGCGGTGACCTCTGCCCCTCACTACAGGTACACACCCACATAACAAAATAAATATTATTTTCTTTTTACTATCAGTCACAGAAACTGGTCCGAACATCAGAGTAGAACCGTCAGAACCGTCAGAACCAGAGAGAAGAAAAACTGAAATGATCCCCAGGTGAAGCAGCAGATGTGCGGCCGAATATCATGGAAAGTGTCTCGACTCTAGAGGCTGTTCTGCACGAGGGGCAACAGGGGCAACGATGTGACTCCCACTCCAGGGGTGGAAGTCACATCGTTGACTGTTGAAGTACTTCATTGTTCACGCCTTGGGGGGGGCAGCAGAGTGGCCACTTTCCTGTCTAACACTCTAGGACTGCAGTGGCTGTGTTGACAAGAGTATCATGAGCTATCACTGTAAAACTGTTTGGCCTCACTTCTCTCTCTCCCTCCTTCCCTTCCCTCCTCCATCTATGATTCAGGCACTTCACTCCCAGCTCATCCACCGAGCAGGAAAGTGCTCTCCCGGATGACGAGGGCTGGTTACCTCCGGGGCTAATCACTAACCCATTCCTGGGCATTATGGAGAAACGACCACAGAGGGGGGTCGGGGGGGTGAACAGGTAACAGCTGTTCCGTCATAACAGTAGAAAATGATTTAAAAAAAACAAAACAATAAAATGTTATGATTTAAAAAAAACAAAACAATAAAAAACGGCCTCTTGTCCTTATGTTTCCTCGGTTCTTCTCGTCCTCTCGTCCTGCAGCCACCGCCTTGAGAAGAGGAAGTGCAACACCGCCACCTGTGTCACCCAGAGGTTGGCAGACTTCCTGGTCCGCTCCAGTAACACCATCGGTACAGTCTACGCGCCGACCAACGTGGGATCCACCGCCTACGGGAAGCGGAGCACGCTGTACCCCAACTACCTGCCTCTTTAGAGCAGAAGAGCCGGTGTTCTGACGTCATAACCAGCCGTTCAACGTTACAAAGACTCGAAAGTGGCGTAAATGTTTATTTTGTACTTGATAAATTAAACCGCCTTTATTTAAATGGCCGTATCCTGTTTTTTTTAACGTGTTAAACTTTCACTTCGATGTTTGTGTTTCCATGATGTGACATGATGTAAATAATATTTAAAAAAACATGAAGAAATAAAACAATAAATAAAGGAAAGCAAATGTAAAGATATATTCAATATAATTATTATCTGTTGTTTTGATAATAAAAACACGTATTTAAAACCATGTGTGTCATGTGTAACCAGGCAGATTTGTTTTACTGTCACAAGGTAAACGAACTAAAAAAGGTTTTCAAATACACAATAGAAAAAGTACTCGTTAAATTAAACTAACTTAATGGTTAAACTTATTACAGTGCAAAGAACTTTAGTATCCAACCCAATATATAGATTTTGCAATATATAAATTTTATTAATCTCTTTATAACTGACCCTTATTTTGTCTAGACTGGATAAAAATGATACTATTATATTTATATGGTTTTTTTATTATTATATACTACAAAAATACAAAATAAACATATATACCTAAATATATAGATAAATATATATTTCAATATGTGTGTTTACATATATATGTTTATATATACAATACATATATTTGTACGTATCATATATATGGGTATATATGTATATATTTATGTATATGTTTGTATATATATATTGAAATTTGTATATATTTATGTATATATATATATTGAAATTTGTGTGTGGGGGGGGGGGTTACAACATAAATGTTATGGGGTTGGTGTTTTCCTTGTGTTTTCCAGTAAATGGAGGTACAGTACAGTATGAATGACGCACATAACTAACCTGCACTTAATTAGCAGCGACCAAATCATCTCAGTCAACGGCAGCATTACACCCATACATGGTTAACACCGGAGTGAAAGGTTCTACAAAAATAGAACGAGGGGCAGATTTTTGCTGATGAATCCAGAAAACAATGGAGCCATTATCTGCCGAACATCCTCTGGTGTCAAGATCTGTTGACTGACTCATGTACAACCACCAGTGGCAGCTGTTATCAGGTGACGAGTTGTTTATCGCTGCAGTAACGACGAGTGTTTTGATGGAATTTTCTGTCGATTCTTGACTCCGTGGCTGCGTTTAACTCTGACCGTCAACAGAATTTGGAGGTCTGAATGTAAACAGAGTCATCGACTCCGTGGCTGCGTTTAACTCTGACCTTCAACAGAATATGGAGGTCTGAATGTAAACAGCCGATTCACTTCAAAACAAATGTAACTTATCTCACTGCAAAGCTGGTTTCCTGTTTATTTTTTTTCCTTTAACATATATATACAGTATACAGTGTTTTTGTATAAAGCTTGATTCGAATTGTGCTATTAAAACATTTTTATACTGACATTTGATTTAGTATTGAAATTCCAGTCAATCCAAGTCAATAAGATCGACGCTTCTTAAAACGCATAACTCCGTTTGTCCTACGCTGCTTGCCGTACTTATTTGTAAACACGGAAGTGTCATGGTTTACGTCTCATGTGCTAATGATAGGACGTGAATGACTTGTTTTAAAGGTTTAATAGCTAATCAACCGCAAATATGTTTTATTTAAATCAGCATGTCTTTGTTAGCAGAACAGAATAAACGTGAATATATATATAAAAAACGTTTTTCGTCTTTCGTAAAATACACTGCAGCTGCTCTTAGCCACTTGAGCTTAGCCTGGTGCCCTCGTTGGTTTTGGGCATGGCAGACAAAGCAGAGAAAACGTTTAAATTCGTAGTTGTTGGAGGCGGTATCGCGGGTGTGACGTGTGTTGAAAAGGTACAAAAGCAGAGTTGCGGTTATATATCTGTGTGTGTTGCGATAATATGTGATAAATTAAGTAATCCTAAAGTCTATAACATTGGTTGTAGAAGTATTTTTGTCATAATACTGTAATACTGAATCTATGTTGACAGCTGTCATCCCAGATCCCGTCAGCAGAGGTGGCTCTAATCACAGCGGGTCCCCATATTAAGGCAGTGACAAACTTTAAACAGGTCAGGAAAATGTTATTTTAAAAAAATAGACGTTTTCTGTCAAACTCCTAATTTGATGTGTGTTTTTCTCTTCTTCAATTAAATCCCCTTCACAATGTCTTGAGAAATGGAATAACACAAATACGGGCTACATTGTTCAACGTTTATCTTCGACACAGTTATTTTGTAGCTTAATATATTAGCAACTTCCGGTGCAAAGTGGAAATCCACCGGAAGTAGGTTTACAATCCACCAAAACTATGATTTAAACTTCTCCTAAACTACAGGAAACACTACAATTCTGTTCAGGCTCATTTGTACTGTAATATGGAAACGCATTTTAAAAACAAAAAGAATTTCAAAGCCGCTGCAGAGTCACATAAGGCTAGTCCAGGTACCGCACCGATCTCGGGATCTTTCAAATGTCCATATGTGACTGATCACTAATGAATATGTAATGACAGGAACTAATTAGAACTGTTTTCTGTTGTTATTTGAAAGGTGTCTAAGACGCTGGAAGAGTTTGAGATTGAGGAGCGACCCTCCAGTGTCCTGGTACAGACGTTTCCCAATCTGACGGTTATTCACTCGGCAGTGAAATCCCTTAACACGACGTCACATGTAAGTAGCGGTGGTGCAGATTTCTGTATAAATTAAGGTATAACTTAAAATCATGTACGTCACACTCTTTATTCAGTTTTTACATCAATTGTTATTCATAGCGTGTCAAATGCTTTTGTCTTAAACTGTCTTCTGTTGCCCTCTTGTGGACATTTACTAGTACCTACCATATATGGCCTACTGAAAACGATGCTGTCAGTGGTAAAGTGTGGCTGTATTACTGCAGTTGATGGCATTTCGCCATTAATTGTTTTTTATTTTTTTTATTTTTTTGCCCTAGTGTATTGAAACAGCAGATGGACGAGTTTATGGTTATGAGAAACTTTGCATCTGCAGCGGAGGAAGACCTAAGCTGCTAACTCAGGACAATCCATACGTACTGGGTATCAGGGACACAGACAGTGCCCAGGTATATACTACAGTAAACAACAAAAAAAACAAAAACAAACAAGAATCCATTGTTAATTATATACAATACTCAATGAGCTTTAAAAATAAAATATCAGAACTAATGCTGCTCTTTTCTGTTCTTCCTTTTCAGGAGTTTCAAAAAAGGTTGTCGAAGGCTAGGAGAATTGTTGTTGTTGGAAATGGTGGCATTGCCTTGGAATTAGTGTGAGTAAACTGTATCAAAGTTAACATAAGTATGGAACAGTGCCCTCGCCTGGAGTCTTGTTATTATTACAGTTATTTTCAGCTCAATTCTGAGGAGGTGACATTTTCTGCAGAGTCATTTAGGAGAATGCTCAGTCATGTCCTGCACTAACAAATGTTTTTTTTTTTCCAGGTATGAGGTCGAAGGTTGCGAAGTGATCTGGGCCATTAAGGACAAGGCGATAGGGAACACGTTTTTTGACGCAGGCGCGGCGCAGTTTCTTATACCATCACTGGATGCAGGCAGACCAGAGAGACTGGTTCAATGTAAAAGGCCTCGCTACACCACGGAGGAACCAGCAGATGGAGCCTCACACATCTACACTGCACAAGGTTGTCTTCTCTAATACTTTGCTTTTGTTTTAATGGGACTTCACTCTCTAATGTTATGCTACATTTTCACTACAGCGGATTTGCGTGGGAATGGCACTGGTCCCACAGAACCAGGCAGTGCCCTCGGCCCCGACTGGCACGAAGGAATAGCTTTCAGAGGAGTGGAAGAGGTAAAATAGAAACCTGAGGGTTGGGTTTTTGTAAAGTGTATTTGCATTGGAAAAGACTGCTGTACATGAGTCTTGTACCTGTTTTGACTTCTTTGTTTGCATTGTTCTCTCTGCTGTCATGAGCTCAGGTGTCCCGCAGAGTTTCAGTTGAATACCAGTGTGAGGTGGAAAAGATCTTGACCTCTGAGGAGCTGCTCAGTTCCCAACAGCAAACAAATACACCAGAGAACGGTGAGAAACTAAACCAGCTGTTCTGACCTGTGCCATAAAACCTGGTTGAAAAGGTTCAAAACCATCTTGTAACTGCACCTCACTGATTACTGAATTAACTTTTATAACATTTACAGCAGACATGTTTCATCAGGTCTGACAATCATCAGCTGAAAATTACTTCATTTTACTTAGTGTTTTTTTTTTCTGTCCTTCACTGTCAGGAGGATCGTGGCCAGTGTATGTCCAGCTGACCAATGGGAAAACCATCGGCTGTGATTTTGTGGTCAGTGCCACTGGTGTGGTGCCAAACACTGAGCCATTTCTACACGGTAACAATGTACGTATAGTAATCCACAGTTTAAAAAGTCTAAAAAAAACACAAAATCTGATGATTACAGTATGAATATGATCTTTGAAGCTATTTGGCCTTTGGTACCAATTTCTTTGGTTTCAATAAATATGCAAACTGGATGGCAGTGTCACGTTGTTCAAATATTATCTGAGAGCAATGTTTCATACAAGAGTGTTATTGTTGGTGTTAAATGCTGTTTATTTATAGATTTTTATTCCAAATAATCCCTGACCACAAAACTGCAGGCAAGAAGCACTTTAGACAAAACAGATTTATGGCCATTGGACCACAATGCCTTGGGAATCACTGAAGAACAGAGAAGCTTCTTTGGAAAGCCTTTCCACTGGGCAGTCCACCAAAAAAAAACTTAAAGTGTAGTAGTAAATAACCAGGCTGCATAAGCAGGCTGTAAGTGTTGCCCTTCAGTGGTGATGTATTTTTATTGGGTGTTTTTCATTACTACATAAACGAAAACAATAGGGTTTTTTAAAGAGCCGTAATGACAACGACCAATAGAGGAAAGCGAAAACAAAAACACAAACTAAAACGCCGTACTTGAGAAAATGTTTTTCTGTTTTTCTCCCTGATTATTCAAACCTCAGTGTAAACACAAACCTTTACTCTTTTTATTTTAGTTTCTACTTGCAGAAGATGCCGGCTTGCGGGTGGATGATCAGATGATGACATCAGAGCCAGATGTCTACGCTGCAGGAGATGTGTGCACTGCATGCTGGGAGCACAGTTCCCTCTGGCAGCAGGTGAAGTGACTGATATAGTTTCTTTTTAAACTGTTCACACAGCCTCAAAGTTTGTCCTCTTGTCTCACACGCTGCCAATATTTCAGTGTAAACAGTCATTTATTTATCTCCAAACAAAGATGTCACAGACTTAAACATGTGACTTATTAAAAACTCTGACACGAATTCTGTTGTTAAATATTAAACTGCTTTTCTTTGAAATCCTTTATATGAGTTAATGTTTAAAAGAACAAACACTGTTCTTATACTGTGAAACTGTGCAACTATTTGACCATTTTAATATATATATAAGCATAAATATATATACATATATAGGTATAGTATATATGTATGTATGTGCAGCATATGTATATATTTGTATATATGTATGTTGTGTGTATCTATAAATATGTGTATATGTATTTGTATATATGACATATACACATATTGAAATATATATTAAATATATATGTATACATATACTTTATATATTTGTGCTTTTATGATGTTTATATGTGTGTGTGTTTATGCATATATATTTACATTGTGTGTGTGTGTTCAGATGCGTTTGTGGACTCAGGCCCGTCAGATGGGTTGGTACGTCGGCCGCTGCATGGCGGCACATGTTCTCTCGGAACCAGTGGAACTGGACTTCTGCTTTGAACTCTTCTCACACATAACGAAGTTCTTCAACTACAAGGTGTGTCCTTCAGTTACGTTTACATGTTAATCATCTACTGTCTAAATGGCCGGCTAACATTTGTCTGAGGACCTTCAAGGTCATTTACTCCTAACAGCACTGTCGTAGTTCTAACTGTTCTGGTCCATACACAGGTGGTTCTGCTGGGGAAGTTTAATGGACAGGGGCTGGGCTCTAATCAGGAACTCCTGGTCCGCTGCACTAAAGGACAGGAGTACGTCAAGGTGAAACTGGAAAAAAAAAATCCACTCTTGTAATGTCTGTTCCACCAGTGCTATAGAATTTATCACAGGGCCGTAGGTTCTTGTCGCCTCGTGTTATCAATGTCTCTCTTCAAATGTCACTGTCGACTCACTGAAAAAACATCAAAAAACAAGAGCTCTGTTATTCCTCACACAAACTTAATGTCATTTTGCCGACTGATTAAAAAGTGTTAGCTTGTTTCAGAACCCTCAGGGCAGTCCTGCATTACCGGGGGCATCTTTAAAAAACCATGTGATGTGTGTTTATATCATCTGTTTGTGTGTAAAAAGATTCACTGTTCTGTTATCTGTGTTTGTATCTGGGGTTGACCCTGAGGAAGAGTATGTCATAAATTACTGTTTTTTTGGGTTTTTTTTTACCGTCACAAAATAACGGTTCCCCACCAGGGGGCGAGCACAGCATTGACTTCAAATCACAGTTTTCATTGATTTTCAAACTTCTTCTTTTTCTTTGTTTCAGGTTGTTCTTCATGGTGGTCGGATGGTGGGGGCCGTGCTGATCGGAGAGACAGACCTGGAGGAGACTTTCGAGAACCTGATCCTCAACCAGATGGATCTGACACCATATGGAGAGGACCTGTTGAATCCCAACATTGATATAGAGGACTACTTTGACTGAGAAACAAAAAAAAACATTTGCCATTTGGACTAGAAAAATCCTAAACACTGGGAAAACCAGAGATTGGCAGCTTAAAAAAAACGTTTAAGATATCTCAACTTCAGGAATGTAAAAAGGCCCAGAGTTCTTCAGACTTTTGTTGTGTTGGGTTGCGGTTGCCGGTCTTATGATGCCAAGAAATACCCTGTGGGCCTATGTCTGTGCCATGTATAATTTAAAGACGGGATAGTAACCTAGAAAATTCTCGTTCATTCGTTTCTGCGTGGATTTAAATGAGAACGAGTGTCGAGACAGTGGCAGAGTTGTGGGTCAGAAAAGGAAATACAATAAGACTTTGTTAAACGGTTCACTGTTTTGATAGGCAGACACGTCGCCTTTGCCAAACAATGCAGAGCAACCAATAATACCGGCGTGTAGAAAAAGGCAGTCCTTTTGTTGCAACTTTGCTCAGATTTCAACCTTGGCAGAACGAACAGCTCCTCCTGTGCCTCACAAAGCGCTGTGACAAAAGACATTGTGAAACACACACAATGCTGTCTATTTTACCCAGGAAGTGTTGCTCGTGGATTGCCGTGATTTCAAATCCATCTTTTGTTTGGACAAGACACAAAAGAAGCAGATCTGTGCAGATATAATTTAAGAACACGCAAGGAGGTAACCTCCGATATCTACCTGCGGCATTAGGTTTTATATACTTTTTGACAGTCTGGCAGCCACATCATTCAGCAGTGATATCTGAGTGATCACAACTTTGCAGGAATCCCAAGAACAGGGTGGTTTATTTTCCCTATTGTCTTCTTTAGGACTTTATTTGTAATAGTCAAATTTAAACAGATATGAACCAGAGTTTCAGCAACATAAAGTGTCTGTCTGACTGAACCTGTTGGTAATCCTTGGTTATATATACATATACTTGTGTTTGGACAGTAAGCAGCTAACATTTTGTCAATATTAAATTTTTAATTCCTGTTGAATTAGAATACTTTAATAACTCTTCACTCGAATGAAGATTAGCATAATAACATACTTAAAATACAAAATGACATACACCATCACCTTATAGCTACGGAGAAGGCACTTTAATGACCTGTTAATGTGTTGAGGGTTGTGCAGTATATATTTTAAAATGTACAAGTGTGTTACGTTTAATTTTGGACACAGCAGTTGCCAAGTTTATCGAGAAAAAAAAGGGGGATCTGTCATGTCGTAGCTAGCAGCCGAACAATACCACTAGCTTGAAAAAAATTGTACCAGCACGACATAAACTACTGAAAATACAAAGATAAATATTGAAAGATGTAATACTTTCAACAGTGTTTATTCTCAAAGAGTCCGCCTTATTGAGATCATTATCTATTTATTTTTTTCCACCACTCTGTCGTCACATCTTCGTGACAGACAATGGTGTGACTCATTTAAATTTGTGTGCTTTATTTTTAAGATATTTTTGCACAGCCTATCGTCGTGTTTAGGTATTATTATTATGATACACGGGCTTTTTCTTTTACATTTATAGACGGATGACACTGAAAAATCTAAACATAAATAGGGGAACATAAACGCCTCTGGTTATTAAGGAAGTCACCTGATCTTCAATACAGACAAAGACAATTCGCCACACGATGATTTTTACAATTGCAGTTTCCTTTATCAGTCGGCGTCCTCGTCTTTGTGTTTATGTGTTTAAACACATGGATTACACCCAATAAAGTTTGATTAACGTTTTTCCACTTTTGACATTTAAAACACCCAGCACTGACAGAGCTCACTTTAATTCAAGCAGTGGCGGACGTGACGTTTTTAGTAACGTAGTCAAGTGCGACTAGAAGTGTGCAACTGTCTGTGTTATCGCACATAACCGCTGTGGAGTTTGAGTTCAAAACAGCGTGTTACACAACATCTAAGTTTAAATAATTTTATATTTTAACTATTAGATATGTTTTCGTGCAATACATTCAACCCACACCAGTTTGTTATTTATTATACGATATTAAAATACGTTTAAATTGTGGCTCCCCGCCGCCGGTTTGCAAAGATACCCACAACAAGCGCTCTTCTGCGTCACTACCAGCCTACACCGGGTCAGGCATTTTCTTTTCAGGTGGGCGGGGCTTGTTGAGAGGCGTTGTCGCACACGATCCGACCGAGTATTTGAAGATTATACACCCAGCGTTTGACCTATACTCGCATATACTGCGCCCTCGAACGCTTCGTGCAGCCCTACATTTACCAGAGTGCACAGTACACGACGAAATAAAAAAACCTTACAATGGCCAACTACATCCACGTTCCTGACGAGGCTCCGGCTGTCCCTAAAATAGACGTGACAGTTGACGAAAGCGACTACAGAACCGGTGCATTAAAACTAATAAAGGAGCTGAGACCGAACTGGAAACCGTCCGAGGTCAAAGTCAAGGTACGTTTTTTTTTTTAAATGTTTCTAATCGGTTCTAAATTGCATATGTCCTTGCATATGTCCGCGTTTTAGCAGCTCGTGACGACATATATAAACCCTGGCTAGCTTAACATTGCCAATGACGTTAATTAATTCCATGAACCGACACTTCGTCCTAGTACGTACTTGTAATAACATCACCACAAGCAACTAAAATAAATGTGCTGTTGACATCCAGCAGATGGTAAATCATTTACCCACCGAGTTAAAGTTACATGGACATGGCTGTAATCTGTTCCTACATTAAAGGGTTAATATTGTGTAGTTTAAATGTTAACTGCGTCAGCGCAGGTCATGAGCTTTCCGCCACTTGTAGCGCAGTTTCACCGTCTGCGTTTCGGCTCGACCTCATCTGAATCTTATGTAATCTTATGTGGGTGTCTGAGCCACAACGTTTTTCTCTCTGAGAATGTATTGTGGACAGTTTGGCCCGTTTTTTTTTTTTTGGGTTTTTTTTTTTTTTTTTTTTTTTTTTTTGCTTTGCATAATTAAGGGGAAATACGGGATAAAATTCTAGACTTGAAGTAGATTGAACAAAAAACAAACAAACATATTAAGGGCTAACCTTTAATATTTTACCTACATTTATGGACTGAAGGTTACATTTATTACCCTAAACTGTCCATTTAATGAATGGTATTACGCAATAAATAGCTTATTATAGCAAGTAGCTATGCAAGCAAACAAGCATTTATTAAATTGTCAATATAATATTATATGTATAATAACAATTGTATTTTTTTTCTCCCCCAGAAATACAAGTTATTGTCATGTCATAAAAAATAAATTTTCTTTAAATGAAGATTAAAGCAAAAAGAGTGTGCTTTCTGTCAGTGTCAGGTATTATTGAATAGAAAATGAATAGATTTCATTCAAGTTCAAAAGAGAAACAAAGCATGATGGGAGGCGGCTCACAAGAGTGCATCCCATGTGTGACTGACAGCTGCACCATCATGTCGGAGCCACGTTGCCGGTGACAATTCTCCTTTAGATATGGATGGCTACGTAGGATTAAAAAGTGTGTTTAAAAAAAACCCCATCCTGGGTAATTAGTATTTAGAGAGGATCACGTCACCCTACTGGTGAGAGAAGGAACTTGCTCTAACACAGGTAATAGGATGAGGTCTGCTTTCGCCTGTCGGTTTAAAAAAACATTAGCCGTGGTTTTTTTCCACTGGTCCAGTGTCGGGTCAGCTGGTACATGTCACTCTCAAAAAACGGCGATGACCTTAAAGTTTAGTTTTCCTTCTGTTCTGTCACGCTCTGGGGGGAGTGGCTTTGCTTGGTAAACACAGTCAGGAAGCCAGGCGATCACATGCTTCTGTCATTCTTGCCTATATTATCAATGAGAGCGAAAGTGGGAACTCAGCAGATGCCAGTCATCGCGCCCTGGTGCAAAATAAAATTCTTCACAATCCTGTCGTCCTGTCTGTCGAGTGAACAATCAGTGCTGGTATGTTGAAACCCAACTCTGCAATAACTGCGAGCTATACAGCAGGGGTAATTTGGCCTGGGTTTTCTGGACCACACCCACCCTTAAGGCATAGTAAATTTTCTCCCCTTTCCCTCCCATGTTTTGGCCAAATCCAGACTCCCCCGTGATGTTATGTAACACAAAGTGGAATGGAGGTTTTTTTTTTCAGTACTGTAACAGTGGGATGTGGTGGAATGTGGCACTGTAATGCAACTCCCACTTTATTTTCTGCCATAGTCACTCGGTGCTGCAGTAAAAATGTATTATCATCACATCGAATGATTTGTAGGAAAATGTCAGTCCACTGTCAGCAAACTGTAAAACGACAGCTTTATGCAAATGTCTTGTCGAACCACTGTTATGTCACGGGGACAGAAAGAAGAATATATATTGCAGCGGAGTGAGACACAAGGTACCCGAAATACGAGTTCTCCAAGTTTTCCAAATAAGCAACTATTGCTTACTTGTGTCTCTCTCTCTTATTATCATCTAAATCCAGTCCTCACTCCCGGTCCTTCTCCTACCTTAGTGGACCCCGACACTCTCTCGCTAACTGTCCCTCTCTGGTTTATTTTACCCATTTTTATAACAATAATATAAAATCTTTTCTTAATTATTATTATTTTATATTATCAATATATTTGTTTATATCTATGTTTTTGATGTTTAAATGAGGGGATGGGGGATTTTAATTCAAACAAACTAATGAATTGGTTTTTAGTTATTTCTAATGGTGAAAATACAATCGTACACACGAGAGCTGTTGTGGCACGGATTAAACTTGAAGCCTCACTGTAATATTTTCATTCACTGTGAAGTATTCCGCCTCTGATTCACTCTCGCTCTCTGTCTCTGTGTTCAGTTTTTCACAGATGGGATAACCAATAAGCTCCTGGGTTGCTACGTGGGCCCTAGGATGAAAGACGTGGTGCTGGTCCGTATTTATGGCAACAAAACGGAGCTGCTGGTCGACCGGGAAAATGAAGTGAAAAGCTTCCGAGTGCTACAGGCTCACCGCTGTGCCCCGCATCTCTACTGTACCTTCAACAACGGCCTGTGTTATGAATTTCTGGAAGGAACTGCCCTGGAGCCAGAACACATCCGTAGCCAACCTGTGTTCAGGTAGAGTCGCTTGTTTTATTGCAAAATACTTTGCTACCTACTACCAGTAGGTAGCGTGTCAGACCCTTAATCTGAGGGTCTGGGGTTCAAGTCCCCGTTCATTTGAAATTTCTCTTTGTCTGTCCGTTATTAAACTCAAACAATGGTCCATATTGAAATGATGTACATTTAAAATCTCCATTTCTCCCCTTCTTCCTCTCCCCCTCTCTCTCTCTCTCTCCCTCTCAGACTCATTGCCGGGCAGCTGGCCAAGTACCACGCAATCCATGCCCATAATGGCTGGGTGCCCCAGTCTGACCTGTGGATTAAGATGGGCAAGTACTTTGCTCTCATCCCTAAGCACTTCAAAGATCCTGAGCGAAATGCCAGGTGAGTGCCTCCGATGATTACTAGAACCTTCTCCATCCTTCAATCCTTCACTGAAGGCTTCTGTCTTCTTCTTCTTCTTCTTAGTACTTCAAACCTTTTACCTATTCACCATCATCTCAATAAACGTATATTAACGCTAACTCTACTTTAAACAAAGCAGATGTGAAACAGGATGAAATCTGTAGAACTTTATACTCTAAGACACATGTGTCAAACTCAAGGCTCACGGCCCAAATATGACCCGCCATCTCATTTTATATGGTCCACCAGAGCTCAAGAGGAATTTGATTGTTTTTAAATAAAATGTAGTCAGTGGTTCCATAGTGTAGCGGTTAGCATGTCTAATGTTAACCGTATTGGCTAAATGCAGTGGTCAAATTCTGTATAGTATTTGTCGGACAATTTTAGTTGTTAAGTTTTTTTTTTTATTATTATTTTAACCAATTTATTTGAGTGTATTTTAGTTCATATTACCTCCAAAGAGATGTTCTGAGTCTCAGTGACCTTGTGATGTGGTCTCTTAAAGAAGACAAACATTGAAGGACTCCTTACATAAGGACTTATTTAATGAGCAAACAGTCTTAGGGAAAGGAGTTTGCGTGTAACACACTTGTTATAATACAAGTCCTGGTTTATGATTGAACCACGGAACGGCAGCAAGCTAAGAAAACACGAGTCACCCTTTAAATGAAACTGAGTTAATGCTTAATCAGCGGCGTTTTACAGCCTTCACTGATAAAGACCTGAAGGTCACAGGTCAAGTGTGCATTCACCCTGTGATATTAAATTACCTTAAGTGATTTTTTTTTAAAATTTTTTTTTTTTACTTTTATGATTCTCATTCAAGGAACGAAACTGTAACATAAAGACCGGCAGAACATTTGTTTTGTGAACCATTTTTCTGCAGCTGAATTGAATTCACACTCCAGATGTTTTTGTTTTTAGTCACATCCACGTGGAACCATAATCTCCAGCCCCTTATCGTGTGGGGGGTGTAGGGGGGGGGGGTATAAACGAGTGAATCCACAAACGGCACTGATGCAATCTTCAGGAGTTTATTTACCGTAGTGTACACCTCAAATGACGGAGAGAGTACGAGGGACCGTGTCACTTTATCACGAGTTGTGTTGAAGTACTGACGTCTCGGAAGGAACATGACACAACAGCTGATCTTGTTTTATGTTTGCTGTAAAATGTGTGACAAATGCTGTACATTTGCCACTAAGGACAAAATACACTTTGATGTGATCTTTATTACCGTTTATAACTGTTCCTCATTCATCTGGAATTTAATGTTCCTTTGATGCATCTTCTGTCCTCGGCGCCTTCTCCCTTTGACTTACTTCATTCTCAGAATTTTATTCTTAACCACAGTTTAGTCATCTGCTCCTGGGACTGAGTTTGGTAACATACTACATTGAAACGATTCCTTTGTTCGACTTTGAAACATGGCAACCTGTAAGGAATGCAGTCGGTTGAGTGCTGACTAAAACAAATATTGGGTCGCGTTACCGCCCGGTGCTCAAGACGCTCCATAAAATGTTTCCCCATTTCAGAACAGAACTAATCCTGTCAAACGACTCTCCGGCGTTTGTCAAGGATTTTTTTTTTTTTTGCGGCACATTTTTTTTCGACAAGAACATTACAATGGTAACCTGTATGGTTTACAAGACCTATGTTTTAGATGAAGTATTTAATGAATAAGTCGGGTATTTGCCAATTTGAATGATTTAATATCAAAGCTCTGCTTAAAAAGTTTAGAAGCTCAGTGCTTTAATAGACTGATTGCTCTAGATTAATGATAATGTACAAATAATTGGTCAAATATTTCATGGCATCGTCTGCATACACGTTGCAGCCAAAGTAAAAACATGCGTGTGTTTATTCCTATGGGGTTTATATTTAGTAAAAACCACATCAGTGTTAAATATGTAAATAAGTTGGCAGTACATGCTGCAGGCTAAACTAAAAAAAAAAAAAAAGAAGAAGAAGTTATTTCTCGTTTCTTTTTCCTTGTTCTATGGTTGAGTCTACCTCCAGACTCACTCACATCCTTTGCTTATTTTTCTTTTGTTGTCTTTCATTCTCAACTAACTTTGACCCATTGACGTCTCCAGGTTGCACATGGATGTGCCGAGCCCTCAGTTCCTCAGAGAAGAGATGGTGTGGCTCCAGCAGAGCCTGTCTGGGCTGGGCTCCCCCGTGGTTCTCTGCCACAACGACCTGCTCTGCAAAAACATCATCTACAACCCAGAGGAAGGTGAGTCTCACTTGTTGACATGTTGAATTCAGATGTTGTTAAGTTGATCTGCACCCCCCCCCTCCCAACGTCTCCCCCCCCAGTCCCTGTGTCCAGGTAGGACTCCCATCAGTTCTAGTCTCATGCTTCCCTCATTCTCAGTGTTTGCATTAGGCCTAGAACTAGAACGATCGGAAAAGACAACGGAAAGGAAACTTTAGGCTGTGGTGCTAATGATCATAACACAGCGTTTGTTACAGATTTATGTGTGCTGTCACGGGGAGGGGAGGGGGGTTGTCCTCAAGATGATCTATGACTGATTAAAACCAAACATAGTGTAAGCTGAGTGAGTAACAGTCGTTACGAAATGTAGCAAAAGCATCAGTCACTGTCACGCCCCCCTCCCCCAACACCGCAGTCCTTAAAGAGCCATGCTGTTATGGCCTCAACTGCCCTTATTTTTGGTCTCCACTGTGAATACGAGGTGTGGCAACTCGTTGGTGTTGACGGTGCTTTTCCATTCACCGCGCGGGGTCTTGTTCCCGTCCCGGTGTTGGTTTATTTTTGCGGGCGGTCACTGTTAAACTGGGCCTCTGTGTTGTACAGTAATTGGGACACAGCCATGTTGGACTTGACTAACTGGGTGTTTCCTACGCGTTGTCTTTTCTGTCGTTCTAATTCTCTGCACTAACTTGGGAAATGCAGCAGCAGCTTCAAACCAACAATGCCTTTACGATCTCTAGTTCAGGTTATGTTGATGACACAGGCTAAGTGTTGTAGCAATGTCGCTGTTTTGATCATATATTTAGCAACGTGTCAGAAAATAATTTTGCTTATGTTTGAGGGTTTTTTTTTTAATAACGGGGTGGAGGAGGATAATTTTAAGGAATATTTCAATGAATGTGGGAGGTGCTGGGGGGGTGTATTTAGGGGCGGGACAGGGAGGTGGGGGGTGAGAGCTGTTAAAAGTTGGAGCTCCTCGTCGGGTTGCGGCGAGGGGCGGGGCTCTTCTCACAGCTCCTTGTGTCTAGCCTTTCTCCCCTAGGAATGACAGCTGAGGCTGTGGCCGCCGTGCGCCACCCTGCCCTGGGGCAGCAATGGAGGGGGACAAAACCTCACGCACTGTCGGCTCAGGGGGCCATCACATAGTGGGCCCGCTGCTCAGGCTAATCGGGACACGTTCATGGCATCAGTAGGGGCCACATACCTATTTATTACCTTACAGTGCTGTGCAGCCACCAAGCCCACCCACTCTAAAGGCTGCTTGTTGTACTGTTTATTTATTTATTGATTTTTTTTTATTTTAATTTTTTAATTAAACATCACCTACCTTAAGCTTCTTTCAGCACAAGCCAACTAACTTCAAATATAAAACTTCCTTCTCCTCTGATGCGGCAGTGTTCACAACCAGACAGACGTCACTTTTCTCTGTCATGTCTGATATTCTGTCTTTTTGTATTTCTGTGTATGCATATATATTTATTTTAATAAAAAAATACATGTAGATAGTTTGCTAAAAAACCTGGCTTCTATCAACACATCCAGCAGATGGAGTCGGTGATGTCGTTTATTTCCGGATGTTTTATTGGCACGGACAATAACACAGAATATCAGCAGCTGTTTGGTATATGGTGGCTAAAACTACCAAGCTAATATTTCTATCCCTTTAAACGAGCACCTGAGTAGCTACCGCTAACAGAAGCGTTGATGTGCTCACCTTGTGAACGTCACATCACTGACCAGACGTGTTCTGACTGCAGGTCAGAAAGTAGCCATTGTCCCTGCCAGTTGACCTGTTGCTAAGCACCACCCCCTTGGTTACCGTTGCTAAGATGCACCAAGACTCTCCCGCCGTCACAAA